GTCACCATCTGACAAGTCAGAATGGCATTCTGTTATCAGTGCTGTAGATCCTGGTGGTGTGGATCAGTGAACCGATGTCTCGCTCGCTCTTGGCGTACAGCTTTATGTCATCCATGTAAGATGGTGCGGAGCTTGAACGTTCAAGAAGGTTCCTGGAGAGAATTTACGTGTTTCAGGAGATAATCAGAATGTCTTCTGGACGCCTGCAGGTGTTTTATGCATGACCTTCCTAACCCCGGAATCAACCCGGAACATGTTGGAGGAAACATATCTTCTTTTCGGCCTGGGAAATGGCTCGAAAATTCCACCGGAAGAGCTGGTGAGTGGCTAATGAGAGGAGACAGAAGAACCTGGGTTTCCCTGCTAGGACTGCTTCTCTTACAGAGTTGGATCCAGACAACAGGACAAGATGAAACAAAACATTTTGCACCTGGAGTTCTAGCTGCAGCATGCTAAATCTGATAACAGTATCCTCACCCACTTTGTGATTGTAAAAAAAAACAACACAAAGACGATCTTCAAAAATGCTTTCTAAAAATAACTGCTGGGTAAGTTTGATGTAGTTTTCTGTCAAAACGTTACTTCTAGAAAACCTCTGCTAAACATCTCATTTGTTTTCCCAGAGATTTTAGAGGATTTAATCTTTGTTCTTGTTATGCGGTGTGTTCGGGAGCCTTTACGGCTACAGGTCTGTATGACTTTTTTTTGTGCAATTTAGCATAAATCCACTGAATGTTTTTTTTTCTGTGAAAAAATGCAAAGGTGGTAAATAACAGTCACAATGGATGAAAACTGAGAAGTGTGGTTTGATGGGAATGATAAGAGGACTGTTTCTGTGTGTGTGTGTGTGTGTGTGTGTGTGTGTGTGTGTGTGTGTGTGTGTGTGTGTGTGTGTGTGTGTGTGTGTGTGTAAGAAATGAGGAAGTCAGTTTGAAACAGAAACAAATGAGAAACTTAACATTTTGAAGAGGACACACATTGGACGAAGGTTATCTGCGTAGACAGGGCTGAAAAAAATCCACCTTCTCTGTTCCTTCGTGAAACCAGCAGTTGTGTTCAAACACAAACATGACAGAATTCCTCAAAAGTTTCCATGTTTGATTACAAAAATATACCGAAATTCACTTTCAGTTTATCTTGTAAACTCATCATTTTTTTAAATCTGTGATCGTGTTGTTTGGACTTGTTGGTTGTAACTGTTACAACTCACACCGCTCTGTTAACAAACGTCGCTCAGACCTATTTCTCCACCTTTCACTAGAGGAAGTGATGCACAATGTTACTCATTCAGGTCATGTGGAGAAGTCTAATAGATTCCATAAACTGCCTGATTTTCCACAAGGAAAGTGATGAAACACCAACATGAGGAGAGCCCCGTACTTTATTGGCTCGGGAAGTAATTACTACAATTATTACATGTTTGCAAAACAGATGTGGCACACACACACACACACACACACACACACACACACACACACACACACACACACACACACACACACACACACAGTATTTATATGGAGAGAAAGTAGACTGAGTGTGTGTAACACGTGTAGCTTTATCCACGTGTATGCTTGAAACTGAAATAGCAAACGGTAAAAATAAAAACGTATTTAGAAACAGTTGCTCCTTTGCATACAAACTGTTACATATGCACAATGTTGGGTGTTATTTGCCCACAGCTGCACACATGCAGATGATTCTGCTCATTCAAATATTATTTTACCGTTCAGAAATGCCTTCTTACATTATATCTTTGACTCACGAGTGTATAACTTCCTCCCTCATTAACTGAAAATAAGTTAGTGAGTTTTGAAACTTTCAGATTGAGCCAGCTACTGACTGAAAACTGTGGTTTACTCATTTAATCAGTCCATTTGCAGTGTTCTCTGGTAGGCATGATCTCCTTGCAAACTGTATTCGGTGCAAGAAAGGCCCAGAAACACTTGGATCAGCACCGACAAGTTTATTGCTGTAGAGTGTTTTATTTCCTGATATTTGGACATCTTACTTCCGATTGGTTAAGAGCAATGTGACTCTACCACTGACTTGCTTCGTGGATATTTTTATCTCCATAAAAAACACAAGCCTGGAGGAGATTTTCTGTGTGATGGTGTTGCTAATGCTAACAATTAGCTTCTACTAGTCGGGATGTTGTCTGCTGATTCCTGAATGCTAAATTAACAACAACCTTCCTCGTAGCGAGCCAAGTAGGGTGGGCCCATGAAGGACGTAGATCTGTCAGGTTTTCAAATCGTAGTTTCACCGTCTATTTTCTATCAGAAGCTAACGCAGCAGATAGGTGTAGGAGAACACTTTCACGTTCAGCTTGCATGAAAACTTCTGATTGACCGAATATATTCAGGAATCATCATTAAAAAATGTTTGTTCAGAGTTCCACACCTTTAGGAAACAAAATTAAAATATGATAACGCATAATGACATTTTTGCTGACCCTAATTAATTGATGCGTTGACGCAATAACAACGTGCAAACTTTGACAGCCCTAGTTTTGAGACATTTTACACTCTTTAGGGACTCCAAAGAGAATTAGGATGCCCCAGCTTTCACTCAGCATTTAAATGCACCATTTCCACGGATCTGGCTCCTGGAAAAAAGAAAAAGTCTCAGAATGCTTTGTGAAAATAAAAAAAATGAAAGTTTTAAATTTATACAAATCTGTGCTTTCACCTTGGGAAGGTGTTGCCAGTGTTTCCCCTTCACATTTAAAAAGTACAAACTTTCTTTCTCTCTCTCTCTTTCTCTCCCAGCTGATGATTTTTAGTTTTAATTTACAAACAAAATCAGAAATGTTTAGTTGCAGAACTGCTGCCCCCTAGAGCAGCAGAACACAGATGTACACCTGAGAACATTTGTTTTTAAAATGGTTTATCAGAACCCCACCTCATTCACTGATAACATATTCATTTATCTTGTCCCCTCCATAAGTCTGAGGTGTCCCAAAGGCAATGAAAATCATTTTGTGCAATGAGACACACTGAATCTCAAATGTTCACTTAATAGAAAAAACAACAATTAAACTCACACATTGGCAATGCTTACTTGTCTTGAACATTAAAATATTTTCATAATCAACGTGTCAACGCAACACCTCTGAGTCAATCTCATCTCACACACTGGCGTTTGTTATAAATGCACAAGAAATTGTAGTTATAAGCTTGGTGAGGGTTTCCTATGGTGGCCTTTGATGCCCAATCATACCAAAAATGCATGTAAATCACAACTCTTTGTATATTATTGTTGCAAATCCACACCAAATCCAAATCCCTTCTGACCGTAAAGTGCCCTGATGGAATATTAGATCAGAAACATACCATGTGCATTACTATACGTGTTAATGTCACTTTATTTATAAACCATTTTACAACCAACAAGCTGCAGCAAAGTGCTGCACAGAAAAAAATCAACGCAATTATTCTAATCACAAAAAATGACTACTGTCATCTGGGCCAATTTAATTTCTTCATACCAGTACATGGCTAATTTAATAAATAAATGAACTATAATTGCTCTAATAATATTAGCAGGGTGGTGCAGTTGGTAGCACTGTTGTCTCTCAGTGAGAAGGTCACAGGTTTGAAACCCAAGTAAGGGCCTTTCTATGTGGAGTAAGCATGTTCTCCTCACACATGCAAATAATTTGGAAGGTACTCCAGTTTCCTCCCACATGCCAGAAACATGCTAGGTTCAGACCCTGAATGCTCATAGGTGTGAGTAAATGTGTGGTTGGTTGCATGTCTCTGTGTCTCTGTGATGGTCCAGCAACCCATCCAGGATGCCTGCTGTTGTCACCCAATGGCGGCTGGAGGAAGGCACCAGCTCCAGTAACGATACTGAGGAAAAAGCAGCTAGATGATGATGAGGATGGTGATGATATTGAAGACAAGACAAGATAAAAGAAGAAAAGAAAAGAAAAAACAAGACAAGACAAGATTGTAAAAAGTACAGAAATGATTGGAACAGTGGAACATAAAAATACTCTCAACTATCACTTTGGACACAAGTGTGCTGACCACTAAAACCATTACTTTTCAATAAAAGATCGAGTATCTGTGAACATTTCTTAAAAATGTAAAATAAAGCACATTTCTAGATGTACAGAATCTCTACCTCTGTAACAGGATTGGTACTTACCTCAAATATCTTCAACTGTGTATTACAGGTGGCAAATAATTATTTTTTTGTCTTTGTTGCTGTTGTACAAATAAAAACTCAAGTGCTACAAATATGATTTTGATTGTCATACTAAGATTGGTAAAAGATGATTTAGTTAGAACTTTACACGGGGTGATCTTATTTGTATTTTCCATTGTGGAATTTAAATGATTCTAAATCGAATCAAAAACACAAGAGAAGAATTGACAGAAAGTGAAATTAATGCAGCACACTTTACTTTTTCATAAATGTCTCCATTAATTCCAGTGGGGCTGCTGTGGCTCATTACTTCCAGTGTGTGAATGTGTGTGTGTGTGTGTGTGTGTGTGTGTGTGCGTCTTGGTTGGGGGGGGGTTGTAAAGCACCTTGGGGGGTTGTGAAACACTAGAATTCACCACGTGAATCCTTTTACCATTTTCATGTCATTTTTTAGAAATGTGCTGAACAAACAACTTTTAAGACATTTACATGTTTGGCATTTAGTTTGATCTTAAGCACATTTATCCACAGTTTGGACGTTAACCACACCTGATTGTTTATTTTTTAACCAAAAACAACATTACTGACATCTGGTTCATCAATAACAGCAGAAGTCATGTAAATCTTCTTTTATTGAATTTTATTTTACGTTATTTCAAACCACGCTTTTCTAAAATCTCCTGTGATAAAAAAGGAGGTGAAAGGTCACAGTGATGGAGACTGTGACACACGTCTGATGCACAAATTATCTGTTGCGTTAAGGAAAGTGATTGAAAGGAAAGATCTTATCAACTTTTCCAGTAACTCTCAGTGTTTTCATTCCACAAACACCTCATATCTTCAAGGTGACGAGTTCTGCAGCAGCAAGTCTGGACGGGCCCGTCAGACAGAACCGCTTTCCTCTGACATCAAACCAGCACGTCAGCATGTGCAGTGGGGAGTATTTAAAACACACCAATAGCTGTCTCATTTCATTTCACACACACACAGACACACACATACACACACATACACACACACACACACGCAATCCCTCTCTTCTCTCTCTGGAGCCCCACTGCTGAGGCTTTTTTCTGCATTCTCTCATCATGTTGGACACATTCGGGTCACACGGTACTGGACTGACCGTCTCAGACCTTCAGCTCAAACTGTCAGACAAGAAGAGCAACCTGCCTCCAGCACCCGGGATGGGACTGGACAACAACACCGGGAAGAAACTCTTAGAACGAAGTGGACCGGCTTTATCCAAAAGAAAACTTCTGGTGGGATTGGACCTCCTCTGCCTCTTCCTCGGTAAATAGAATCTTTAAATGCATCCTGTTGACTACTTTACTCAACTGAACGTTAAATTTTATTAATATTTTTATACATGCAGCCTTTCATGCAAACTTTTAGTGATTGAAAATCTGAAAGAACTCAACAAATTCTTTTAGATTCTCTGTTTCTGTAGTTTGAATAGATTTTGTGTTCATTATAACATTTTAGTCTGTAACCAGTGACACCCACTGCTTCTATGAATTATTTATTCCTTCCTTTTTGTCATTTCACACACTTTAAGTTCCCTTCAGCTTTGCTTCCATCCCTTTTGTGTTTAAACAAAAACAGTCGGCTGTTAAAAGGCTGATATTCTAACTTTCAGGCTGATGTGTAGGAGAAAAAGTTCCAGTCAAACAAGGAATTAGAGGAAAATCTGCCTTTTCACTATACTTTGCTGCGCATGTATGTTCTCAGGCTCTCCATACCAGCTGGTTTTTGCATCGCCCGGGGATTTGTGCAGTTTCCATGACAACATCCTGGTTCTCAGGGTAGAGTTGTTCCAGGGGGAATTCGATTCGGTCTAAATAAATAAATGCACGACCCCTGTGTGTGTGTGTGTGTGTGTGTGTGTGCCCTGCTCATTAGTGTAATGGGTGTAATGGTTGGACAACCTCCTGAGGTTCTCGTCACATGACCAGCGGATGGTTATATAATATTGGCTAATTGGAAAAAGCTGTATGGAGAACTATCTGCAGGAATGTGGGAGCCCTGCAAGAAGCAGGCGTGCACAGCAGAGCCACACAGAGAGTTGGTACAAACAGGGACAGTGTCAGGCTGCTTCTGGCTCTGCTCGGCTGCACCATTTGCTCTTTGTTTAGCTGGGAACCAGAGTCACAAACAATCCCCTCCTGCTGCCTGTCCTCATCAACACATACGTCCACTGAACTTGTTTCTGTTCAGTGTCTTCCCTCGTACGTCCCAGCGTAGGATTCCTGTGACCCCAGCATTCCTAATAGTTTTTTTCCCCTGCAAAAGGTCTCTTTTGACCCTTTGTCCATACCCAAATCTCTCAGGTCACGGTTCCCTGTGTGATCAGCTCCGGATTTGTGATGATTACAAAGATATTTGGTGTTTAATTGAGTGAAAAAGAGTCAAAGGCGAGCTGGGTGTTCACAATTTTGTTACGAAGGGAAATAAAGACTCATTGGCCACTTTTTTAGGTACACAGAGCACCTTCAGTCAGTGTCTTAATTCTTCATGTCGTGGAACCAAACAGCAGAAAAAATCCTGAGTTTAAACTGCTACACATGGGATATTTTCTAACTTCAGGTCAGTTTTCTGTGGACTCTAGAGATGGTTGTGGGTGAAATTCCCAATATTTTCTCAGTTTTAGCAAGGGTCCCCTGACCCTGGGGCCATCTGCAGCTGCAGGAGTGATTTTGCGGAGCTCCCAATTACATTTGTAGAATGTTGTTTTAACAGCAGGCTTTTGATGTAGGAAAATAATTTTTATGATAAGGTTTTTACTTACATACTTATTATGGGTCTACCTTTGAGCAGTGGGATAATAATAATTATTATTGCAAGTTGGAAAAATTTTGGCACTTTTGACAAATTTGGCCCTTGTCTTTAAAGCTTTGGACACCATTGTTTTTTGTAAATAATGTGTTGTAAATGTAATATTTACATGCTTTTCTACCAGGATCAACAGAGGCAAAGCCACAACCATCCAAATGTTCCAAAAGTTTCAGGGGGCCCATCCTCACATGCTGAAATTTAAATACCACAGACGTCCATGAGTAATGCAGATTTGACTAGGAGCAAAGGATTATAATGCACACATTAAGGTTTTTGTTTTTTTAATATTTGAAATACTGGAGATTAGTGCGGTTTTACGACAACAATGAACATCTGTGTTAGCTCCATTAGAAGTGGTTAGCTCATCAGTCTGGAAAGAGTTAAACACCAGGATGTTCAGAAAGCTTCCCACTATTTTTTAAACCTTCAAACAAAAACACACTTCAGAGACATTTTCTTACTTTGCATTGTTTTAGGTATCACACCACAACATGCAGAATCTTTATCTTTAAGGAGACTGTTAGGTATTTTAATTTTCCCATCCAGGGTTACCTGAGGGAAAGTTCAACACGCAGGGGTTATATTAATAAGCCGATCGATCAACCCATACCAATCTTTACCAGGTGACAACAGAGACAATGTGTAGTTCTTACTTATAAGCTCTGGGAATATCAGTTGAAATGTTGTCTCTGGGCGATGCCATGTTTACTTCTACGGGAGCCCGTGAGGACAAAACACATTTACTGATTTGTAACACATGGTGGCCTGTGATCAAAGCGAGTCTGACGTGCTTGTCATTTTGCTGGAGGTTGTGTTCCCAGGGACTTTTGACCCTAATGGCCATCCGTTGGTAAGGTCGTACTTGAACACAAAAATACTGCTTGCTTGCAATGATTTAGGTATGTGCTGCCCCATATCGCCAGGGAAAATACACACTGTCACTTTTATAAAAGTCACTTTTCATCAGCTGAAATCTCAATTATGGGGGTTTAGTTCATCACGATGAATCGTGTTAAATAGCAAATTGTTCCACACTGAATAACCCTCTCTCTCTCTCTCTCTCTCTCTCTCTCTCTCTCTCTCTCTCTCTCTCTCTCTCTCTCTCTCTCTCTCTCTCTTTCTTTTTTTTCTTTCTTTCTCTCTCTCTCTCTGCAGCATCAGTCCCTTTCTATGTGTGTGAGCTGAAGGTAGTGAGACCTTACAGAAGGGGCTTCATATGTGGCGACCCCAGCATCACCTACCCGTATACACACAGTGAAGCTATTCCAGATGGACTTCTCATCGCCGGTGGAATCATCATCACAGGGTTCACAGTAAGAGCTCATCATCTTCATTCCTCCCATTTTTTCTTACTGTACAAGTCTCATGGTGTTTTCCGATTGCGTTACGTGTCTCCAGATTGCCCTTGGGGAGTGCTACCGCGTGCGCTTCTGCAGCGTTAGCTCCAAGGCTTTTGTCAGGAACCTGTACGTGTCCAGTCTCTACAAAGAGCTGGGCAGCTTCCTGTTTGGCTGCAGCATTGGCCAATCGCTGACCAACATGGCCAAGCTCAGTGTTGGGAGGCTGCGACCTCACTTCCTGTCTGCGTGTGGTGTTACCTATGCGTCGCTCAACTGCACACCTGGAACCTACGTCGCCACTGTCACCTGTAAGAGTCCTGATCCCCGTTTAGAGGAAGAGGCCAGGTTTGTTTGGCAATAAACATGGATTTGGGTCATGTGGTTCTGGTTCTGTTCTGTAAATCTAAACACTTCTCTACTGTTTACAGGAAGTCCTTCTTCTCTGGCCACGCCTCCTTTGCCATGTACACATTGCTCTACTTAGCAGTGAGTATTTCTTAGTTGTCTTTCACACAAACACTCACACGGACAAAGCAACAGCCAATATTGTATGAAATAAACAACATAAGGACTCATTGTCGGTTTAGTTAGCAGCAAGAAGTGGGAGAAGGAGGAAAGCGAGGAGGTGAAGAAAGTTATAAACAGAGATGGCTTTGTCTGCTGCAGGAGGAGTGTGACCTCGCCTCTGTCTCACAGCCCAGCTTTGTTGTGTGATAGTGTGTGTGTGTGTGTGTGTGTGTGTGTGTGTGTGTGTGTTAGAGCTCTGCAACACTACATCTGTACATACAAATGTGTAATCACTAATTAAGAATCAATTTTCATAACACTCCTGATTAAATTAGTTAAAAATTCAGCGCTCACCTAGCTGAGGATGGGGTCCATGCAAACGCCTGTTTGTAGACGTGTTGAAGGTTTCATTGAGCGATTTAAACCAGATTTTATATTCCTATAACTCAAGTCAGTTTGGTTTACCTGCATTTACCGTGAGTCTAAGTGATGGATTATGATCTCTGACAAACCTGTATCTGAGAGAAAGGATCCTGTGATGATCTGAGCTTGATTTACTGTGTAAACTGTCTGGCTGAAATGCTCTCTTTGAAGATTTTGGATTGCGGTGATTTTTTTCTGCACACATCTACAAAATTAAACATGGAGGAGAAGAGTCGGATGCAGAAAACATTTGATTTCTAGCTAAAACCCTCCTGAAATCAGAAATGTATTTGGTGTGAGCAGGGGTGGGCAACTCCGGTCCTCGAGGGCCGACGTCCAGCATGTTTTAGTTGTTTCCCTGTTCCAGTATGATTCATCAAGATCTGCAGAAGACTGTTAGTCAGCTGCTGGTTAAAATCAGGTGTGCTGAAGCAGAGAAATAAACAAAACATGCTGGGTAGCGGCCGGCCCCCGCTAGTCGACTCAAAAACGTGAAAAAAAGAAAACTAATTTTGAAAAATAAAATAAAATTTAGAATAAAGACTTTAAATAAAAAAAAGGTTGAATGAATGAATGAAATCTTTATTTTGAACATTATAATAAGAATAAAAATAACCATTATAACAATAATAATAATAACTAAGTCCCTGTACCTCATGAAGACCATATTTTTGTACCACTTTCTAAATTGGGTCATACTTGGACATTGCTTTAAATCACTATTTAATCCATTCCATAATTTCACCCCACAAACAGAGATGCACTGACTTTTTACTGTTGTTCGCACAGACGGGTATTTTAAATTCCATTCCTCTCTCAAATTATAAGATGAAGAAAATAAAATATAGTGTAAGTAGCCAGTGACACAGGGTCTTAGGAGGTTACATTTTTTATCCGTTTCTCATAAAAATCAGGTTGATTTCTAAAAAAGAATCTGTTGAATCTGACCGTTACTATGTTAGTTACCACTGATGACCATCCCATTCATGAAAACATGATCTTTGTTTCCAGTTTTACCTGCAGGCCCGGTTGAAGTGGCACGGGGCTCGGCTGCTGAGGCCGGTTCTACAGTTTTTCCTGGTCCTGCTGGCGATCTACACCGGTCTGACCCGCATCTCGGACTACAGGCACCACCCTACCGACGTGCTTACAGGTTACCTGCAGGGAGCTGTCACAGCTTACTGGGTGGTCAGTAGACCTCAGCTGCTTGTCTTGGTGCATCACAACTTATCCACGTGTCTGCTTAAGCCTCACATTGGGCTTGTTTATTTTTTCCAGGCCTTCTTCATCTCTCCCATGTTTAAAAGCTCCAGCTCAGACCTGTCTCCGACTGGGACACCGGACAGCTCCTTGTCACCTCACCACACTGCCTGCTAACCCTCACACCCACCAACACCCACCTGCTGCCTGAATTCTGGTCTGGGTAGACCAGAGATCTGAAAAATGTGAGACAATTTCCTCCGAAATCAAATAACATACCTCAGTGTTTTGACAGTGGGAGCAGAAATATTGACTTTGTGAGACAATGTCTGCAACTCTAATGAGAATAACCTTTAGTATTAGTTGGGAGAGACTGAAACCTCGGCTTCTGTCACGTGAAACGAAAACCTCCTGAGACTGATCGAAACTTAACGTGTAACTTTTACATGTCAGACTGAAAGAACTGTAAACACTCTAACTCCATGCATAACTTGTACGTATAAACATGATTTTACACCTCACAGGACACTGTCAAGGCACTTTTGATATTTTTGTGTTAGTTTTTGTAATTACCACTTCTAATAGAATGTATTATGTATTTCACAAATATGGAATGAATCATTTGGCTGCTGTTAAACATGTTGAATGTTGTTGAATGGGAATGGGGAACAATAAGAAATAAAAAGGTTTTCCTAGTGAGTTATAATAATGGAATTGCCTGTTTAATATGTTTTATATCATTTTATATATGATAATATTCATTAGGATAAAAATCCAATATACTATGATAAGATACGAAAAAATGTGACCTAAAGCATCAAAGCTACAATAAATGTTAAGTGCACATTTACAACTTTGTGATGCAAAATGCTCACTATGTGATGTGATATAAAACATTAAGCTGCAATGTGGTACAATACTGTAAGTGTGTTATGATACAACATACAATCAATGTTCCTCTGGGATTAATAAAGTATTTTTGAATTGAATTGAATGACACAATGCAATAATATATATGATGCAATGTGACAGTGTCATACAGTAGGATGGGATACAGTATTGTCACTCATTGGAACTCGTCATCTTCTGCTCATCCGGGTCTAAGCTGCTGGGTCGGCTGCCCTATAGGGAAGAAGAGCAGTGGCTCTACTCTGTGTCCCTCCTGGATATCTGAGGTCCTGGCCCCATCTCTTAAGCTTGGTTAATTTTTCAGTCATCAATGACAAACCTTATCGTTGTGAACAGATTCATGATGAAAAACGGTGAATGTAAATGTGGTTTGTAGCTGCCAAGTGTGAGAGACCTGCTGACATCTTATCAAGGACTCTTATGATTAAATCCAACCTCTGACAGCCTTCAAGCAGGCTCAGATCTGCAGTCCACCAATGAACATCCACCCAGGAAGTGAGGAAAAGAAATTACAGTGGCAGTATCAACATTAGCATCAATGGAGGCTATAGGCAAGAACATGTGGACAACGTCATTTCTGAGTTCAATTTGGAGCTTAATGACATAAGTTTTAACGCTAATGCTTTGTTTCCTTTCATCGTTGCCGTGGCATCTCTCTGCTCTCGGTGATGAATGTTTTTAGGCAACGTGTGTTGGCATATCCTAGAGCGAGACATAAGTAGTTGTGACAACAACCCTAATCTTGAGTGTGGTTTGAAGACTGCTGTAGACAATTGTTAATGCCAATTCCAAAGTACTCATCTGTTTGACATTTCATTGTAAAGTGCACAGCAGTGTATGGAGAGGCATTGAAAATGGGATCTTTAAGCAGTCAATAAGAGTTGAAAGCAAAGGTTTGAACCAGCAACCTACTAATTACAGGGCAAACTCCTTATCCCTGCACCACCATCACTATTAGTGAACTTTATCAAAAAAAATGAACCCATGACATCATTTGTAGCCCAGCTGTGTCAGCCTTCGCTCAAGGCCACACTACCCTCACTGGAGCCGAGCTCTCTGCCAGACCCCTTAGTTGTATTTTTACAGTAGGCTGCACCATGTCTTAAGCCTGGACCACACTGTGCATTTTTCGAGCATCTTAGACAAATCCCTTGTTGTAAATAGAATCGAGACAAAAAACGGTGAATGTGTGGCTATCTAGTGTGACCGGCTCTGCGACAGCTTACTGAGCACCCTCATGACCAAAGTCATCCTCCACCCATCTGCAAGCGCTGCATGAAAAGCTTTGGGGAGCCCAAGTCTCCTCCCTTTCCGGTCAGCTGATGGGTCCCCAGAAGAACCACAAAATGAATAAAAGTCAAAGGGGCTAAAAGAGCTCACAGCCATTTTCCCCCCTGATTGTCTCCGTGTCTGGTTCGATGACGTCAATTTCGTGAAACGCATTTGTAGTCCTGGACTTATTTTTACACAAAACCTAAAATAACGTTTCCCCCCGGAAATGAGCGCTTTCTTGGTATCAAAATGTGTCTTTAAAATTCACGGACATCATTTGTCAAATCTGTGGCACATAACAATCGGAATTAGAAAATAGCATTTTAGATGTGTTCGTTCTTCCGGGGACCCTTGGTCTGGAAGTAGATGGGCGTGACTTGGCTCTCTATGACTCCAGCTGTAATCAACCAATGAAACACACCCATGGATTGATGCAAACTTGCCGTATGGCTGAGCCGTCATGACCTACAGAAAACTCATGACCATGGATGAGCTTTGGAACATAAGAGCTTCTTTTTCTAGCTTAGCTCTTTCTTTGCACTGATCTGCTCCCTCCCTTCCTGCTTGAGAACTACAGCCGACACAACACCACACAATTTGCTATAATATATATAATATAATATAATGAACTGTTTTAAATTTGATTTAACACGGTACAATGTGCTATGGTACAATATGATAATCCAACACAATACGAAACCATTCAATACTACGTCCTGGAGCTGAGAGAATGACAGTAAACTCGCAAACATGATTAAAATATACCAAGAAACTTAATTATAAATCAAATAAAGTCATATTCTTACCTCCATTATGATAAAGGGGCGATATTTTTCAGATTTTGTTGTTTATTGTGGATCTTAGTGATTTATTTTTGGTCCAATTTCTCAGAACTAGTCTTTATGTTGAGCACAAAGGAAATTGTAATAATGGGGAAAATGAGCAATTATGTGAGTTGTTGATAACTGCCTGAACTTTGCAAATCTTGTTTTTTAATCAATATTGGAAACAAACCCTCTCTGTCATCGAGTTGCAGCAACGGATTGATATTTACAAATAAACTGTACCATGGTGACATTTTGCAAACTTCACACTGAAAACAATAAATGGACATTACTAGTAAAAACATTTTTTATTTGATCAAAAGAAGTTTTACATTCTTTACTTCTAAGTAATTTCAGTCACAAACTCTTATTTTTTAATCAACTTTTTTTTTATAAACAGTGCTTTCCTGACTCACTGATTACTCATCTCTGCTGTCTGGATTTCATTTCCTGACCTTCATCACTGGAATCTAAAAAAAAAAAAAAAAACGTGCCATCTGTTTCCCACTTGACTTTTACTGTAAAACTAGCTGAAGTTGTTGTCAGGGGAAAATGGCTTCACTTTCAATATGTATGACTGTGCTTGATGTGTTCTCCAGTTTGAAACCATTTGAAGTATGTTTTCCATGAATCTCAGAAGAAAAACGCTCTTCGTTTATATCAAGACAATCACCAAGATGACTCAAGTTTACCAAAGCAAAATGAACAGAAACCATTTACCAGTAACCTCCTGGTTGGTGCATCCTGTATTGCTGTTTACTACATAAAAAATTGATCAGAATGACTGAATTAATTTACTTCTCACTGGAACTCCTGAAAAGGTTTTGATCAACGATAAATGTCTGAAAACCTTCATGCCTGCACTGATATTGATTTAGTTTGCGTAGTCTGAATTTTGCTTACTGTAAAGTACAGCTCATGTAGGAGTTGCTGTTGGTTAGGATTTTGTCTCAAATGACACAAAGTACAGATACAAAATAACATTTATTAAAGTAGTCTATACTGGCCGAAGGTTGCTCTTCTTTCCTGGTTGTGTTTTGTTTCGACAGCTCATTGGTTTTTCTTCTGCCTCTTTCTCTATATAAAACTCCTCTGAATACCATGGGACCCCCTTCACACAGGGTTAAGATCTCCAAAACCAACTGGAACATGGCTGGTTTGTAGCAAATTTGGAAACCCTTCAGAATTCTTGTCAAACAAGTTTTGTTTTGCATCCCAGAGAAGCTCTCCTGCACCCTCACCGCTCTTTATCCGTTCTCATGACAATCCTTCACCCAAAACTACACCACACCACTTCCTAAAGCAGCTCTAAATACTTTTCCTGCTTCCTGCTGATTTAAAGTGGTATTACAACTGCCATAAACAACCCTGCCACCGCCTGATATAGCTGGCGTTAACAAGCTAACGGTAACACGAGCCATTTGAAGCTAAATGAGCCACTAAGTAAAACGATCCACACTGTTGAACAAAAAAATTTTACTTACAAATCCAGTGGCAACAAAGCCAGGTCATCATCGTTCTACGATTTCTAGCCTCCTTTAGCTCCCCCAAACTAGTGTAGGCCGTGCCAATGTTCACTCTGGTTTTAGCCCTCGTTTCACATCCAAATACGTAACACTCTTACTTTTACTTCTAGGCTCGGACATGATGCAGCTAAAAGCAACACTCTTCTTTGTCTTCTTCTTGTGCATTGATTTGACTGTCGGTGAACTCAAAAAGCGAACTGCCAGCCGTCAATGTAAATAGCTAACAGCTGTAAAGCAGTTAGAGAACTCCACCTAGTGGACCTACCTGGGCCACAAAACTGTTGAGAGTGGTTTCTGATCAGCAGAGGGCTGCAGAATGCTGCATCTGAAGATGATAAAGTCTCTACCTCAAGAATCACTGAAACCACATTGAAAGCAATAGCTTAAAATGCTTAACACTCTTTATTGTTGCTTTGAAGCAAGACTATTGCAATAAGCTGAAGGTTCAGGGCTTGCCAGCCTGACGTCGATGGTGTGATGGGTTGTCGTTTCAATTTCTTGACAACCAAAGTTCAGATGGGCTCCATGTCATGGACATACTGCCACCAAATTACCCTACATGCCACCCAGGTTCCCTAAGTACTGCTACGGTATTAATGAAAGAACTTGCTGGGAATATCATAGTCAATCAAGTATAACAGGAAAACCACTGGATTGTTATTTTATTTTATTTTTTCCGACAGTTTAAGACCTCACCAAGACTCAGCAAAGATCACCCAGTTCATAGCAGGGTCATTGTCCTATCTGAATTGGGTCCTTCTACTCTCTGTGCACAAAAAAAAAACAAGAACATTTATTTCACATGTTTACTTGAACTTCAATAGCAATACAAGACAATCAGAACAATTGAGGTGGATATGTACAGGGATCTTAATAGGGTTGCAGAAAGGTTCTGAGGTTTTACATGATCTCTGGCTCTGCAGTCAAGTGTCTGGTTGCTATGACAAAGTCCATGGCAACAAGTTCACACAGGTAGTGGCGGGTCAGGGGGCAGAGTTTTGGTCTTGATGTGAAATCGGACGAGTCAAGAGCTAAAATCAGAAAGAACGGAGCAGTCCTCCAAGTCCATATTAATAAAATGCTTCAGTGTGATACATTAATTATACAATAATTTTTTATATACATATACTCTCTCTCTCTCATACACATATATACGCATCCTTACACACACACACACACACACACACACACACACACACACACACACACACACACACACATGCTCATCAAGCTATGCACACACACTCGTTTGTACGCGTCAGCTCGTCCTCCTACAATATGCAGCCTTTCAACGCCACTATAAAGTCATGCACATGTTCTTTGAGAGGAGGTTTTTTGGCAACACACATGTGCTTCTTTGACACACTGTTTGCTAAAGGGAGGGGCATCACCCAGCCAATGAAGCACAGAAAAAAAACTCAGATGTTGGACTAATTGGGGAAAACACCAATGAGGTGGGAAGACACAACAGGGTTTTGGGAGCGGCGGAAGAGGAGGATGAGCTTTCAGTGATTCACAGACATACAAAAGTAACAAAACGTGGAAAAAGGGGGAAGTCTCGTGGTGATCAGAAGATAGAAGGAGGGAGGAGTAGAAGTAATCCAACATAATGAGCATTTCTTTTTCATCAGAATCTGTTTCCATTAGTTTTGTCTAAATCTTTTTGGTGAAATGATCCCCATCCTCCTCTTCCTCCCCGGTATCTATGCCCCAATCACCACCGCCCTAGTCACAGGCTCGTCACCCGCTGCATCTGTCCGTCCTCTCCTTCAGATGTGGGCTCTGAAGTGTACCCCGTTTCTCCATTGGAAGCCAGCGGAGGTGGCTGGTAGAACGTCTGCAGGTGATTGGGTCGTGGGCCCAGCGGGGGTCGCCCGAGGCTGTAGGGCAGTTCCAGAGCAGGTCGCTGGGGCTGTCCACTGGTAGGGCTGATTTCCTCCAGGCCTTCGGGACTGCTGTCTGGGTATATGTGGGTGGGTGGGGAGGTGCGGGTGTAGAAGTGAGGGGGGGAGCTGCTGCGGCTGTACACCTGCGGAGAGTGGCGAGAAAAGAGGTTGCTGGGCGGCGAACTGTTTGCTCGTGGAGCAAAGATGTTTGTTGGCGGGGAACTGCGTGGGAAGATGCTGAGTGGCGGCGAGCGGCAGTCTCCAGAGTAGAGGGGGGAGGGGTTTGAATCTCTGGCATAGATCGGTGAGGAGTCAGGATCCAGGTCGAGGTCAGGAGTCAAAGGCAGAGTGAAGCTGTCAGAATCCTGTCGGTCTCCATGATATCGAAGACACCCTCTGTCATTCCCCCTTGTCCTCCCATCGAGACCTCCATCTTTACTCTCAAATGAGAAAGACTCCTCCCTGTCCAAATCTACCCCTCCTCTCCACACATCCAGCGCTCTATCCTTCTGTTTCTCATTCTCTCGTTCAATTCCCGCTCTCCAACCATCTCTGTCCTTCAGTAACAAGGAGTCATCCTTTTCCCTCTCAAAGTCACCTCTCCAGCCATCCATCCCAAAATCTTTCTTCTGAGTGATAAACGTCTCCTCCTGCTCTGTTTCTGGCCCTCTCCACACCTCCATCCTTCCATCTCTTTTCTCTTCCCTCCCCCTCTCAATGCCAGGTCTCCACTCATCCATTGCACCATCCCTCTTCTGTGAGGCGAAAACTTCCTCTCTTCCCCTCTCACTTCCTCCCCTCCATTCGTCGTACATTCCTTCTCTTTTTAGCAGAAAAGTTTCATCATTCTCTCTGTCCTGGCCACCTCTCCACGCCTCTACAACCGCCTCTCTCTGCTTCATCAGAAGCGGTTCTTCTAAAGCTTTGTACAGGGGCTCAGACTCCTGTGGGGGAGGAGGGGGAGGCGGTGGGAGGGGCCTGTCCCGGTAGCGATCCCTGTCTCGCTCCCTGTCTCTGTCCGTCCCTCCACATGACTCCGCCGTGCTGCGGTGGCGGGACAGAGTTCCCGGAGTGCGGCTGAGGGTGGAGTAGGGCCGGGCCTGGACATCAGGGGGGCGCACTTGTTGCCTCTCCTGGTGCCCACGGCGACCCAGAGTGCCCTGCATCTGCGAGCGATCTCCGTCTTTTAGCAGCTCGGAATCTCCAGAAACATGTGCGTGTGACCAGCCATCTTGCAGCCGTGGCGCTGTTGTGTGATCTTCACCGCGTGTTGCTGAGTCGGTCTCCACATCCTGGGTGGGCTGCCTTGCATGTGCCCAGCTCTCTTGTGCATTGTGCCGTGCATTTGGCTGCATGCTGGCAGTCCAAGCCTCCTGGAGTGGCTGTGTGTGTCGAGTTAAAGTGGCAGTGTGAGTGAGAGCCGGTCTCTCGTGGTGGTGCGGTCTCGCCAAGCTGCCGTAGCGCTCGGGAGGAACGGGCATGGCAACTGAAGGTCTCAGGTTGCTCTGCACCAGCTCTGAGATGATCATCTTTTCCAGCGCTGCTGCGTCAGACAAATTGCGACGCATCCCAGCGCCGCTGTTCATATCTGTTCCCCCGTGTGGTGTGAGGAGGCCGGGGGAGATGTCGTCCCCTCCTATCCCAACTCCTCCCTCCCTCAGAAGGTCGGTGCTGCCCACCACTCCAGCTCTGGATCCAGGCGTCGTCCCCAAGCCATGCAGGGTGAAGGTGTTGGGGGTGTAGCCTCCGTTCAAACACACACTATCCAGTCCACATGACTCCTGGCTCTGTGATATCCCACCCTCTGTTAGGAGAAACAAGAAGGTTTGAATTTTAAAATGGCAGAAAACATCAAGTTATGGATGCAGATGTGCTTATGAACAAGCAAATGAATGAACGAGCAGAGACTGAAGGTGGATTTTCATCTTTTTTTTTTTTATGAAATGTTTTGGTTGCAGCGATGTAAGTTATGCCTTTATGGTTTCTTAACAGTTACGCTGAGCGAATGCTGCATAGAAAGGTTATGAACTGAACCACAGAACAGGAGGACATGGTGCTCAATGATTCAAAGGGAGCACAAGAGGAAAGGTCTCATACTCGGTTTGTTTCTGAAGGTTCCTACTGGTCCACGTCCAAATAAAGAGACGGAGAAGGAAAGTGTCAAACAACATTTATAAAAGACAAATTCAAACACTCCCCACTTTCACTTCCAAACGGAACATTTTAGACACTCCTACTGTTCAGGAACAGGAAAAGACAAACATCAGGAAGTCTTGTGCTCCACTTGATTATTGAATTAAATCATCGTTGTTCTTTGTGTGACTTCACTCTAATTTGACCTTTAAGTGGCTTTTTTTCTGTCTATACAGCTTCCTAGGTTGACATCGTTTTGGTGAATGCTGTCGTCTTACAAATAAAATAAACGATACCGAAACCGTGCTTCTGCTGTGTATCTGCTCAATTAGCGAGCCGACGACCAGTCATTTAGCGCTCCGTTCCACGGAAAAAAATGCGTCTTTTAAAATATGGATGGGTTCAATTAGATGCAAATGTTGATTTATTTCAGTGATTCAACTTAGACGTGAGATTCTGATTAATTAGCTGATTAGAGTGCGACACTTTGAGTCTAGAACTATTTGACAATATTCTAATTGTCTGAGATTTAGTATTTGGGGTTTTCATGAGCTGTGAGCCATAATCATCACAATTCTAACAAATAAAGACTTGAAACATCTGATTTTGCAATTAATGAGTCAATCTCATAAATTTGTTTCATTTTTTAAGTTAAGTTAATGAAATAAATGAACTTTTGCACCATATTCTAATTTTCTCTACAATAATAATTATTACAGCGTGACAACAAGTCAAGTAAGCGGATAATAATTAAAACCACATGTAATTTATGCAATAGTTAAATGTTACTTATTGCACTTGTGGAAATTTTCTTAGTCTGTTATGCAAAAAAGTTAAATGTGTGCAAAAAGACCTTAAACACGTTCTGATTTTTACCCATTTCTAAAGTTTCTTTAAAGCTACTATAGCAAATTTGGAAAAAAATAGCTTAAACATTTTCTTTATGCCTCTTAACAGTGTTCTAACATAGTGTAGCTATAAATATATTGTGAAGATTAAAAAAATGTAAAAAATCAATGAAGTGATTCTCTAACATTTGTCTTACAACCTCCACCAATAACATGGCTCAGACTGAAATCAGTAACAGGACCACACATCCCGGAGACATTCATAGCACACTTTTGTTTTTAGCAACAGAACTTCTAGCCTTGGAATACAGCACATTTCTGTATTATGGTTATAATCATTTATTTTTTCCATTTAGACATAAATAGTCTGAATCCCACTCAGTACTCCACTCCAGTTGGTGGCGCTAATGCACCAAGAAGTAGCTAGCTAACCACAACAAAACAGCTCAAAGAAAAAGAAGAATAGAGAAAAATGGGGTGTTTCTCAATGTCAAGGCGCCTTGCCTTGCGAGGCGATGTCTTGCGAGGCCAGGCGCCTTACTTACAAGGACACTGTCCTGCCTTGGTTAAAGAAAACGGTTAAATGGAACAGACTTGAATCAAGTGGCCGCGGCTTCCACGGCGGTCACGTAACGTCACGTGACACAGGAGATAACGTTATATTTTATATGTATTAGTTTCAATATCAATATCAATATGTAACGAGCCTTTTACTTTTTTAATTGTGTCAGGGCAGCAGCAGCTCAACAGGTTGAGTGGGTTGTCCAGTAATTGGAAGGTTGCAGGTTTGATCCCAGCTCCGGACAGAGAATTCTGCTGTTGTGTCCTTGGGCAAGACACTTAACCCACCTTGCCTGCTGGTGGTGGTCGGAGGGACCGGTGGCGCCTGTGCTTGGCAGCCTCGCCTCTGTCAGTGCGCCCCAGGGCAGCTTTGGCTATATTGTAGCTCATCACCATCAGTGTGTGAATGTGTGTGTGAATGGATGAATGATACACTGTAGTGTAAAGCGCTTTGGAGTCCTTACTCTGAGAGGTGCTATGCAAGTGTGGGTCATTTATCATTTATCATTCATTATATGTTTATTATATTAAAAATATAAGCAAGTTACTACCCGCTAGCCACCGAAGCCGCAAATACTAAGCAACTAACTAACAACCAGTGTTGGGAACGTTACTTTAATAAAGTAATTAGTTATAGTTACTGATTACTTTGTCAAAAAAGTAACTCAGTTACTAACTGAGTTACAAGATCATAAAAGTAACTAATTACCAACAAAAGTAACTACTTAGTTACTTTTTTCATTAAAGCATGCAAGAATTACTACAATAGTAAAATATAAATCACTAATGACTGAACATAATAAAATGTATGTCCAAATGTTTTATATAAACCTGAATAATTTAAACAAATAAGCACTTAACAGGAGGAACTACTAACAGGAACATTACACTAATCTAGACTATTAAAAGGTCACTGTGTGATATTTAACAAAAACCCAATCAGCTAAAATTTAAAATTGTAAATAGAAACACCTGTAAAGGTTCCCGAGCCTTTAAATGGTCTCTCAGTCTAGTTAAATTACAGAAATAAATGTAATTTTGCACAGCATTCTAATTTTTACAGCTTCACATAATTGTGTCTTTTTAGTAGCATTTCTGTTGCTGGTAATCTAGTAACGGTTAAATAAACGCATTTCCTTACCAGTAACAGGAACAAGGTTTTGATAAAAGAAGACATAATTAATTAGTTTGCTTGTTACAGAAAGAAATATTTTTTATTAACGCGGTTATTTTAAACGGAGTTATTCCCGTTGTGTCTACAGAATGCAGTGACTGAGACCGTGAGGGTCTCCGCCCACCCGGCCAATCATCATGGTGTTTGTAAGTGCGTTACCGACACCTCTCTCTTCCTGGCTGCAGCTGAAGTGTGGCGGTCGGAAAGCCTCACACTGCTGCTCAACGTTCGACAAGCACATAGTAACGCACAGCGTTCCGGCCCCAGTAACGGTAACGGCGTTGCAACGGTGGGAAAAGTAATTAATTAGATTATTCCGTTACCTATAAAAGAACGCCGTTTAAGTATAACGGCGTTACTCCCAACACTGCTAACAACAGATAACCTCTTTGGATCTAATAAAAACATTTTAAATTAGTTGACTTACTTTTAAACATGAAAGTAGCTGCCGGCTTCTGATCCGCCGTCTTTTTGAAAATACCGTGGTGTATTGTGGGTAATTTTTGGCCAAGGTTAGGCTACAAGACACCTTCCATGTGTCCTTGCTCAGTTAGCTAAACGGCTAACAAACGGAGATCACATGCCTCGGTAGAACATGAACATTGGAACCGATTGGAACACATCTTGGCGGCTCCTGATGATGTATCTCCTAGGCAACCGGGGCGGGACCAAGACATCAATGGATGGTGGATCAGAAGCCGGCTAGGTAACCGGGGCGGGACCGAGACATCAGTAGATGGTGGATCAGAAGCCGGCAGCTACTTTGGGGGCAAAATTCACGTTTAGATGTAAGTCAACTTAGTGTAGCTATCGGGCTGATATCTAAAATGTATTTTTTAATATCAAAAGCAGTTATCTATGGTTGGTTAGTTGCTTAGTAGTTGCAGCTTTGGTGGCTAGTGAGTAATAACCTGCTTACATATTTAATTTAACCAGTATATACACAATTTGAAAAGTAAAAGGCTCGTTACACAATAATATTGAAACTTAAACGTATAAAATATAACATTACCTCCTGTGTCACGTGACGTTACGTGATCGCTGTGGTCACTTAATGCAAGTCCGTTCCATTTCACAGTTTTCTTTTTACCAAAGAAGGACAGTGTTCTCGTCAGCAAGACGCCTGGCCTCGCAAGACATCGCCTTGTGAGGCCAGGCCCCTTATTGTGAAACTTACAAATTCACTAGAATGTAAAAAATACAAATAAAAAGCGTAACCACTGGTGCCACCCATGCATAAATAAGTGCCCCACCTGGGCCACCCCATTTTAAAAGGTCTGGACACGGCACTGTGTTCTGTGACCATGTTTACATTAAAAACCTAGCTTGTTCTGTAGATTTGCTATAACAGAGTAGTTACATCTCAAGGGCAACATGCCGATTATCACTTGTAAGTCGCTTTGGACAAAAGCGTCTGCTAAATACATAAACATAAACACAAACATCTATTATTTAATATATTACAATAAGATTAGCTTTAAAACTACCATGATTATGAAAAATAGTTCTGAAGACAAGTTCAGTAAAAATTCCTGTTGTTTTCGGTGCATTAGTTGTCAGACAAGCTGTTTGATATGAATTCATGGAACAGACAACAATAGCTTCATGGTCTTAATATACTTTTAAAATGAATCTTCAATTGTAATCTCTTTATCTTTGTATTATTTTCCTTCTTTTAAGATAAAAAAAATGTTTCAGCGAACTCACTTGCGTTGATTTTCAACCATACATCTCTAATTTAGCCTAAAAATCTGTATATACTGTATATATTTAGTACTGTGTAAAATCCTTCATCTTTTTTTTGCAACCGATCTGAATAACAGTTAAAAGCATTGAGAGAGTAAACCCATATGGAAGCAGTGCAGACAGGTATAATGGGACGTACCTGTGGAGGTGAACGGCTGATTGTATCCTTGAGCCAGGATTGTGTCATACGGAGAAGCTGCATGAGTCTGCAGCATCTGGTTTGTGAGAAAATGGTTTCCAAGAGCAGCTGATGTAGGAAGAGAGGAATGAACAACATTTCACATGGTTTCCACACAGCAGGTTGAAATGTGTGATTTAAAAGGAAATCAGCTCATCAGACGTCACCTCGGTTGAGAGTAGGAGTGTTGTTAGCATCGGAAGCAATGAAGGAGGATTCGGTCTGCCTGCGAACAGTGTCGTTCCACATCCTTCTGATGCGGCTCTGAAATAGAAACTATTATCAAAAATGGGCTCAGACTCACCGAGACAATGAGGGAAGGTGTGTTATCACACCTGTCTGTTAGCGGTGGCTCTGCGACTTTGGCTGCTTGTGTAGCGGCTGTTGGAGCGAAGAGCTGCACCTTTCGCCGAGTCTGGAGAGCTGGACGAGGATGTCGCACAGCACTGAGAGAGACGCAGGCATCGGCCGTAATCTTTCTGACCCTGAGTGTGAGATTTACCCATAGAGACTGAGGGTTTATTCGTTTACCAGGATGTAACCGATAGCACATTACACCAGAAAACTGACCTTCCTGGCGAGCGTGCAGTGCAGTATGGCGATGAGGAGGGCCTGAGCAGTGTTTAAGGAGGAGAAAAGGTACGACAGGAGGAGAGACGGTCCTGACAGGAACATCAGACCCGAGGACCAGGTGACGCTCAGCAGGAAGAGGAGAGTCAGGGAGCCCACTGCCCATGCCCTGGAGGAGGACACCAAATGCACAACACTGTTAGCTTTTATTAAGCACAACGGCATGTAGAAGATATTGTACTTGTTCGCAGACATTCAGGGAAAAAAAGACATGAGCTGAATGACATAGATGGCTGCTCATACTGAGCCAGGCTCTGTTGGAGGTTTCTTCCTGTTAAAGGTTAGTTTTCTTTTCCACAGCCGCTACATGCTTGCTTAGGATGTGGGATTGTTGTGAAGTCAGTGACTCGATCTACTGGTTTTCCATAGGTGGGAAACTTATAACTAATTGACATAATGAACTGAATGCACTTGAGCACGTTCAACAGCAATGTTTACTTTGTAAAGTACCTAAAGACTGAATTGAATTGAACTAATAGAATAGATTTGTATTGAATTGTATTGAATTGAATTGAATTGAATTGAATTGATGCCCTGCGATGGACTGGCTCTCTGTCCAGGGTGTACCCTGCCTGATTGCCCATTGACCGCTGGAGATAGGCACCAGCACCCCCCCCCCCCCCCCCCGACCCTACATGGACGAGCGGGTTCAGAAAATGGATGGATGGATGGATGAATTGAATTGAATTGAAATTAAATGTAGGTGCATGGTCTGCCTCACATTTCCTCAAGTTTTCAACCAAACAGGAAATTATTGATAATCTGCACAAGATTGCATGGTTTAAAGTTTATAGGATGCCTTGAAATGAAGCAAATTGTTTTCTGATGTTTGATCACTATTTCAACACAAAAAGACTCAAACTATGTTAACCAATGATCAGTTTCGACTGAACCAAAGGAATGTTTTTTTCACTGTTAATAGGTGTTTATCTGTACTCCTGTGTGTTTTGTACTGACTTCAACTAAATGAAAATCTTGTGATTTGACGCTGCAAATAAATATCAACAAGCTCAAAAACTACAACATATCAGTCATTTTTACTCAAACTGAGCCAAATGTCCAGCTAAGCACCATCACACATGCTTGTTTTGCGTAAAACGTTGCCATTGTCTGTAGGAGTCAACGCTTTCTTTCTGTTTGCTACTAACAACGAGCCACCGAATAGACTTAAATGACACATTCTAAAAGTGCCTGCTTCTCAAAAGGATTAACTTTTGGAGAGAACCTGGTTCAAGATGTATGTCAACACAAAAAATATATATCTTAGTTTCTCCAGCACCCCCTCTTGACCACTGTCCGCTGTCACTGTAGAATTCTCATTTAATGTGAAATTAGCAGTAGCATTTCAACTTTTTAAGCTAATAATGAAACAATGAATATGAGTGCGGGAGTATGCATGTAAACGCACCACAAACGTATAAGAAACCGGTCAACAAAGACTAAATAAGCACACAATCTCACTGACCTCAGATTGTCATGGCGACTGGAGTCTGGTTTTAGGGCTGCAGTGCTGTGCATCTTATGTAAGGTCATTACCAAGACAACCAGGTTCAGCTGTGGGCCAGATAAAGGGCACGAATCAAACAAAGACAAATATTTGTTCATAATGATTTTGACGTGAATAAACAGAAAGGTTGGTGTTTATATTAATGCTTACAGTGATGATGACTGCCACAGGACCCAAGAAACTCCAGATAAAGTAATTATCTGTGCGCAGCCAACACCTAAACAAACACACACACGTAAAACACACACAGACACATTTGAACTGAATCCATAAGTTGAGGTTATAGTTTTGAAACCCTGATAGTTCCATCCCATGCGAACACACGCACACACACACACACACACACACACACACGATCACAAACTTACTCAGATTTCGACCCGTATCCTCTGAAATCAATAGCTGCAGAAACAGCCACCACCAGCCCAGGAACAGAGTAGCCACAGAGGTAGAAATACTTCCTCCTGGAGTTTCGACCCTCAAACACCTCTTGCTGCAGCAGGTACAATTCCACCCCCTCCAGACACAACCAGCAAAACACAGACAGCAGCGAGAAGTGCAGCAGGCCAGCGGTGATGGAGCACACAACCTGAAAAGATCAATCATTTTCCGTTAAACATACACATGCCTTAGACGTGCACGAAATCTGATGGGAAATGAAAATACTAACAACATATTTTGCTTTGTTGGCACAAATGAGGACAAGGAAGAGGAGCTCAGTGATGAGCAGATTGGCCCAAAGGTTGCAGTGGACGGTGCTGTGATCTGAGAGCCAGGGCGCCCCCTGGCAGCATAGGGTAATAAGGCAGGTGGCCAGGCACACCACAGCGACAGAGACGCCGACCCCAGAAACAACAAAAACCAGAAACTCCTCCACACTGGCGCTGATCTGTGAAGACAAACAGAGAGAAACACTGTTTACTTACGTGATAACAAAGAGTCAACATTGTGATTCCAGAAGCAGAGGTGTTAGAGCAGCATATGGGCGTTGGGAGGTGTGTGTGTGTGTGTGTGTGTGTGTGTGTGTGTGTGTGTGTGTGTTTACTTGAATAAATTGCAGCCATGAAGAAAACATCAGAGACACATTGATTAATGAAGCAAACACATCCAGCTGAATTTCAGCTGCAGTCATAACCAGCCGTTAACAAACACTTGGTGTCTGATTCTTTAAAGGTGTGGGTCACTTGTTTAATCACTTTACTGTGTTTGTAGTGGTTTCTGGTAGGAACAGATGTCTTGCAAATCGTACTCAAAGGGTTAGGGTTCGGAGTCGTTTCTTGCCCCCCAGTCATCTGACTGAGTTCTACTTCCTAAAAAAGGAGAGCCTGAGCTTTTGTATGGCTGAAAGCGATTTGCAAGGTATTTATTCACATTAGAAACCACAGCAGATTTATGGGAACGAGTGCATGCACTCTTTTAAAAGACCAGTTCAGGGTCATAGGTCAGAAATTCTCTTACAGGATTTTCATGGGAGTAAAATTCATGGGTCCATTGATTACAGTGAGTCATAAAGGATCTGAAGCAGCCAAGCAGCCCCAGACCATCACACTACCACCACCATGTTCAAGTGTTGACATGAAGTTCTTTCCCTATTGGGGACACTCAAGGTGCTTTTCGGCAAATATAAAATGGTTGTTTTTTTTTCTTGTTGGTTCGAAGAGGGTTTTGTTGAATCACGAACTCTGACCATAACCAATGAAGACCTGCAGTGCTTTAGATGCTTCTCTGGTTTCTTTTGCTCTTGAATTTCTTCAGAAGGGATCATGATGCGTTGCCTTTTGGAACAATTTAGCCTACTTCATGTTGTCAGACAGGCTCCGTTAAGGAGATTTCTCTACAAGTCTGGTGGTAATCAGGCAGGAAGAGAGCAAATTTAGTGTCTTTTCCATACTAACTCAGTAGCTGGCAGATTTAAAATTCATCCAGCTCGGAAATCTCTCAGATAAAATGTGGAGAGCACACTAAAAGACAACATCAGACAAGTCCTTACTTTGATAGAATGAAATCTGCCACTTACTACTGGTTGCTGATATGTCATGAGCACAGCGAAGCTGGACAGGTGGTTGCAGGCACACGTTGTGTGTGTGTTGTTGGTGTGCATCAAGCGGCAACCCTGTGTGGACCACCTGCCGCTCCCAGAAACTCCCGATGCGTTCCAGAATGAGCAGTTTGGACCAAAGTGATTCTTCAGCTGTGAATCAAAATAAAACCACACTAAATGTTATTGCATAACCAGTCGTTAACAAAACAAACCAAATCTAAATATCAACTTTGCTATTAGTTGATCAAAAAAAGAAGACCTGAAGGTGTCTGAGGGTGAAGATCACCGGCTCTGTCAGGTACACTCTGTTGGATCCTTTGTGCACAGAGGCAGAGATGACATGTGAGTTTACCACGAGACTTTTACGCCTGGCATCTTGGCCCTGGTTCTGGCTCGGACCCAGACCCAGCCGCAGCGTGGAGTTCTGGGTAGTCAGGAAGGAGCCAAGGTTTTTATAGAGGGAGAGGACCAGGTTCACCTGACCTGAAGTGGAAACCAAAGAATGGAGAATGGCTTCATGAACTGATGATGAATACTAGCACTTAAAGTCCCACGAACAACTTTGAGTAATGCTTAGAATAAAAAGGTGTTTTTGGGTGTGCTGCTGACCATTGTTGCTGTACTGTTGCAGAGCCAGGGCTGAGATCTGCAGGATGCTGTCGCTGTCGTAGGAGTGAGGAAATGACAAGTCCTGAATGTCGGCTTCAGTATTTAACACGTACACCTCTAGATCTGTGTGGTAACGGAACCAAAGAAATACATGAGGACTACGTTTGCAGCGAGGTTTGAAAATAGAAACTGAGACACCAAGAAAAAGAAAAAGAGTGATGAGACGACCTACCAACATTTGGTGCCCTGTAGCTAAAGCGGCTTTCATAGAGATTGTTCGCCAACAGAAACGCGCCTTTTTCCACCGAGTCTAAAAGCTGTGATGCTGATCGAGATTGGTCGATGCTGCTCAAGTCAGCCCAGGCCACCAGAGCCTCAGGACCCAGCAGGTTATCAACTGTCTGAACAACCGACTAAAAAAAAAAAAAAAAGAGAGAGAAAGAGGATTATCTGCCTTCTAGTCTGCTCTTCTGTGTCAGTCTTACTGTTTGTCTGTTTTACCTGAACAAAAAATTTACACGTGCGTTCTCTCTTCTGCAGCTGAAAAGAAGAAAAACATCAATTATTAACAGATTTGTTGACATTTCTGCTCTCATTCCCAGAAAAGGTCAATCCCACACCCCCTCTAATGGTAGACGTTACCTTGTTGTAGTTGCGAGCGGCTGACTCTTTAACGACTGGTCTCAAGACCTGGAGCTGAGAGTCCAGTATGTCCAGCAGCTGCTGAATCAGTCTGACGGACATGCTGACATCACCAGCATAGATCCGCCCTCGGGTCAAGTTGACTAGGTCCCCAACGATGTTTGCTGCATTCTCTCCACTCTTAATCTGGAATGAGTCAGGGTTTTGTTTGTGATGACATTTAAGAGGGTGCTGTGCTCTTAATGGCTCTGGGGAGTTTTTCACAGGGTGCACGTGCGTGTGTTTGACTGACCCTTTGTGCGATTTGGCTGACCCAGGGAGAGGTACAGTTGGAAAGGTCAGGCCCTCTGGAGTTCCACCCCACTGGAGATGACATGCATTGATAGGAGGCGATTCCTGCAGAGACAGAGAGGTGGAAACAACATCAAAAAGACAAAGTATGGTCTGGGGTGGAGACATAAACAATGCTAATACACAAAACATCATGAGCGCATCTTCTCCTGGACACAGACATGTTTGTAAAGGAAGAACTGTGAAAAACTGAGCTAAACGTGCTTTGAAAGGTCTTTTAGAAGTAAGTGAGAAGGAAATGCTGAAATGGAAATAACACATCATAATAAGTTAGAGGGATACTAATAAGCAGTTTTGGCTTTCTTTTAGCACCACTAAAGGCCCGTAAAACCAAAAGTGCAACTTGTCTCCCCGTTGATCTTTTTAACACCTTAATCTAACTCCTGAAATGTCACCTTAGCCTTTATTAGTGTCTACAGGAGTGATTCATCATTTAATTTAACAAATCAGCTGTGTTCATGATCTAATACATCCTGGAAATGTACTGGAACCAGACTGCAGCTCTAGCATGTCAGCTCCACTTTACTAAGTCCAACAGGGAGTGGGACTGCCTACTCTGAATTTGCAAGTGCGGTATGATGGCCACAGAGTATGGAAGCATATGTGTAACAGAAATCAAATTATTATGCAGTAGCAGAAATAATTTTTCATTTTCATATTAGAACTGCCAAATTTGACTCATAAATAAAATGAATAAGAAATCTTCCAAACTGCTTTTTTCTTCTTCTTAATCATTGCTTATTTTGTGACTTAAAGAAAATTATAGAGAAAAAGGCATTTGAGATTTAATTTTCAAATAACAGTCCAGCAAATGTGTAAGAAAATAAAAATTTAAATGTCAAATTTGAAAATGACATTGCGTTAAGCATAAAGGATTTTCCTATTTCACTGCACAACTGCTAAGTGTGACTCACAGTTAAAATGAAAAAGCAATCTTCTAAACTGCTCTTCAGTTTTCTTCTTCATCACTGCCCATTCTGTGGCTTAATGAAAAACATAAAGAAAGGGGAACTGCTTTTTCTTTTTCATGTCCGCCCTGCTTTAAGTGTTTCGTAATTCAAATTGAATTGGCCGTCTTGAGCAGAGCGGGAGAGTGACATCAGTAAAAAAAAATGTAAATGAAAATTTTATTTCATAAAAAAAATGTGTCACATTTCCTATAAAAAGACATAAATGTTTTTATGGCAATATCAATATCATGTATCTATGAATAATAACAAAAAGGTCTAAGGTGAAGATGATAAAATTTTAAAAGTGCAATGAGCCAATGTCCATTTATATGGACACAGGGCCCTGGGAGGTCAAGGCCCTGTCCACTCGTAGCCGGGGATCTGCCAAAACGTAGATATTTTTCTACGTTTTGGCCTGTCATCCACACGAAAACGGAGTTTTTTCACACGAAAACGGATCTTTTTAAAAACTCCGGCCAAAGTGAAGATCTGCGTTTTCTCCGTTTTGGGTGTCTGCGTGTGGACAGACAAAACCGGAGTTTTAAGGTCCGCAACGTCACTTTCCGCGACAAAAAAATGCTGACATCACGTGTGCGACCTGTGTTTACACTAGCCGGCATCATGGATGCCCTCAGAGCTGCGCTCTGTCACAACCCATCCATCAACTGTCCAAGCGCTTTTTGCTTGTTTGTTTTTGCAAGAGGAATTACTGCTCCTTGCGGAAGACCACAGACGAAGGACGAGGTTAAGAACGAGGGAAGTACTGCCGCCTACAGGTCTGGCATGTCCTTAACAACGTATTTATCCGGGTACGTGTGGACAGAGATTTTTTTTTAAACGAGGTGGTGTGGATGCAAGATTTTGGAGGGGCGGATATTCGTTTAAAAAAAACCCCCGGCTACGTGTGGACTAGGCCTCAGTCACAGAATAAGCAATGAAGAAGAAAATGAAAAAGCTGTTTGGAAAATTGCTTTTTCATTTTATGTATGGGTCACATTTGGCAGTGCTAATATGAAAATGAAATTTTATTTCTGCTACTGCATAATAATTAGATTTCTGTTACACATATGCTTCCATAATACTGCACTTGCAACTTCAGAGTAGGCAGCCCATAACAGAGGGCGTTGGGGTCTGAGTGAACATTTCATCAACCCTGTAAATGGTCATTTTAGTAGATACTGGCTCAAGAAAATAATTTCATATATTAAAAAGTTGCCTTTAAGATTTATTAAGAATTATAGATGGGGAGATGATGCGAGACAAATTCCAGTGGCGTTATTTTTCCTACATGTTCTTAATTATAAACATGATAAAGTATGAGGCGATTCTCATTTATTCGGCTCTGTACTGAAACCCATGTCCAAATGATTTGACATGATTACAGAGAGACAAAATGCCACCCAGGATTATCAACATAATCTGTCTTCAAAGGGAGGTTGGGCTGAGCTAAACAGCTGCGCAGTGAGACTAAGCGAGCGCAGTGTTTCTGCTCACTGTCACCCTTCTCTGACTTTTCTGTCTCATCAGAGTTCAAAGAGAGGTCATCTGACTACCTTTCAAAAGGAAATGAGAGACACACACAGACTTGCAAACACCACTCACGCTGGCATGCTCAGTTATGAAAAAACACATGCTACGCCTACCCAGAGACCCTTTAGGGCACGGCCTCTCAACTGTCTCCCCCTTTAAGGTCGGGGGCCACTGAACGCCCCGTGCCACTCGGCCTTCACATCCACCCACTTGGCCGGGGCCCCCTGGAGGCAAGGGAACACGCAGAGGAGGGCGTGGAGTCAGTGGAACCATGGCTGTGATTGGCCGCTGGTCAAAGGGGCCCCTGTTGATGACACCAATCGGGTGTGAAGCTGATGGCCGCACTGGCATCAAAGCAACTGTAGCTGTGTAGGACCGGACGGTTGTCATCAGGGAGGAGAGGGGTCCTGTGGAGATGAAGGGATTGTTATTTCCCCAAAGTGTTACGTGTCTTTTTACACGCCCGTTCTTGTTCCGACCTTTAGTTGGTGGCGGTGGTGTGAACTGTAGCGGGTATCTCAGCATGTAGTAGTTGTTCCACACGTACAGCTGGTTGTCTCTGGGGTTGTAGTCTACGGAGGAGACGTACTGGTAAGGGTTGGGGAACGGTATCTGGACAGGCAGCTCCTGACCCCGGCTGGTGTCGTAGGCGTACACCACCATGTTGCTGCTGGCTCGGCTATCCCCCTGACCCTCATCGTCCTGGAAGACGGAGCGCACGGCGTAGAGCACGCCACAAGCCATGAAGGCGTTGCTCGCCCCACGTTTGTCAAAACCCGTGGCCCACGTTCCCTCAAAGCGCAGCGTGTATGGGTTCACCTGGTAAGACACGATTAGATAAAACCTGACTGTTTCTTCTGTCCTCTTCCGTTCTCCGGTCATGTAACAGCTTTTGTTTCTCCTACCTGGCTGACCACGATGCGTCCGTTATTGGCTTCAGTCGAGTAAATAACCCAAAGGCCGTTCTCGTCCACAGCCAGATCGATGTCAGACTTCCCTCCCCAGCGGTATGGAGACGTGTCGTGGTAGTTGGCATTGACCACCACTGCCTCACCGCTCTTGATGCGTGTGCGCAGGTCATACTTGACCAGGTTGCGTGTTCGCTCCTTGTTGTAAAACACAGCTCCATCATAGACCACAAACCCGGTACCATCCACACGGCTCGGCAACCTAGGGAACCATACAGAGTTCCAATCATCACCTTTGGGATTTAGTTAGACAGTCCAAGAAATTTCATTCTTTTATTCCATAAATTAATCAGTTTAGATTTGATGATTATTATTTTCCAACTTATTAAGTTTTCATTTAAAATAGCTTGACTTAAAAAAAGAACATACTAATGTAAAAGTTACTTTGGTTGGGAAATTTTGAAAGTAAGACCAATTTTCCAGGAATGTAAACAGACAGAACAGATTTGGACAGTTTTCCAACCTTAAATCCAAATTGGAATTTTGACAGTGGAGCATTTGATCTTGTGGATAAATACTTTGGTGCACAGACAACTCTTTCAATCTTATTCAAATGTGTCAATATACTTAAAACAAGCTCCAAACACAACAGAGACTCTTCCAGAAGAAAAAAAAAAACGAGATTTTTGGGTTGGACAACAGTCCGAAGTTGAACAAAATCAGTCTTTTTTTATGTCAAAAGCCAAGTAAAATATCTTTTCAGCGTTTTTCTTTTCCGAGAATGGGGCCAGAGTCATTAAAATGAACATTCCCTCTAATATGCAGAAATTGCACTTGATCATTTAATTGCTTCAAACCCGTTTTGCGATAAAACAAGAGCTTTGAATGAATCCAGAATCACCAGTGGTGTATTTCTTCAATCCCACATTGTTCATAACCACTGGCATGTAAATAATTGGAACTGATTCAATAATTTTACATGTTTGAAAGAAATCTATGTGTAAAAGTATGTCAGTGTTTAAAATATTTTAGGTTTTGACTATCTACTCATAAAGGTGGAGCACTTGTTTAATCCGGGGGTCGGCAACCCGCAGCTCTGGAGCCGCATGCGGCTCTTCCATCCATCTGATGCGGCTCTCTGTGCTTGTAAAATAATGAATGGATATTTAAATAAAATGCTTTATATTTTACTGCATTAATTTTACATCTGTAAGCTAATTCTAAATGTAAAGATTGTCTGCGTAAACCTGAACAGTTCCAACCCGGTCTTACTGTGAGACCGGGTTGACGGGTCACGCTTGTGCGTAATCATATGCGTGATCTGAGCTGACGAGGATGTGAGATTCTGGGCTTCTCCTCAGACGGCTCCTGGATGTGTCGCCACATTGGAGACAGGAACAAGCACTATTCAGCCAAAGTTTCATAATCAGGGAACATTTTCTAAGTGACAAGTCTCGCTTCAGTCGGAGGAATCTTCCTGCATGCGCTCTGGTTCTGCGACGCGCTCCAAGCCCCTCTCCACATCTTCAGCTCGCTGTGCACCGTACGTACGCGCTGACAGTGAGCTGCGCTGAGCAGTGTCCAGCTCAGATGTTGAGATGGGAATCTCTTCTTGAGTGATTTAGCTACATCTGTGATGTGCGTAGAATAAAGTGTCAGTTCGTCTGCATGCGTCGGGGTAATTCTTTCTATTCTTTCTCCGTCAAAATAAACGGTCAAATACACAAGCCCTGCTTTTAACTGTTCTGTTTTCTTGTGAAAATTGTTGCAAAGAGATATAATTTAACTTGATTACCACCAGAGCCAGGCGCACCGCGCCGTTATCTCCGTCACTGTAAATGAGGGGAAAACAAATTGATCGGATCCTTTTCTGACCTTCCCCACCTACAAAGTTTAATTACAACAATCAAACGTGACAGAGCCTGGATTTGTATTCTGAACAGTCTAAACATGTTTTAAAAAGAAACGTATGACAAAAGTGGCACCTGCTCAGTAAAACCACCAACAGGGTGAAAAATATCAAAATATTGTAGGCAGAGACGGGCTACAACTTCTGGATCCACTTTATATAAATCGTTTTGTTGATTATCGTCTTATGAAAGATAACTTTGACGTACACGAGCGACCGGTGCTGGCTGCTGTCACCTGTTGTGATTGGTTAAAGCAGCTCTCTGCTGTCTGAGGGTAGGCCCCGCCCACAACGCCGCGGGTGCTGTGGCTCCCCGTGTTTTCTTTACTGTGGGAAACGGGTAATAATGGCTCTTTGATGGGAACAGGTTGCCGACCCCTGGTTTAATCAATACATTTTCACTGGTCTCTAGTAGGAATGAACATCTTGTGAGTGGTCCTTTGTGAAAAAAATACACTGGTGCACCAGTTCCAGGAACTAGAAGCGAGCCACATCAGAGTTTGATGATTTGAGTCTTAATCCCTGTAATTTGGACATCTGGCCTCAAATTGGATAACAGCAAAGCGACTCTACCACTGACTCAGTCTGCTCTGCAATGTTGATGTTTACCAATAACACAAGCCTAAAGGAGTTCTGCTGTGTGGTGGCGTTACTAATTTGCTAACTTAAACTGTTAGCTTCGACTAGCTGAGATGTTCTCTTCTGTTTCCTGGACGCTAAACCAACAACGGCCTTCCCCTTATGAGTCAAGATGGTTGAGCCCATGAATGTTAAGTGACAGTGTGACGTGGATCTGTCAGGATTTTCAAATCCTAGAGTTTCACCGTCTATTTTCTATCAGAAGCTAATGCGGGAGATAGTTGTAGGAGACTAATTTCATGCTCAGCCTGCATGAAAAACTCAGAGTGATTGATTATAATCAGAAACAATCATTAAAATGGGTCTTTTAGTGTTCCACACCTTTAAAAAGAGCCTTTAATACATCTGTGAAATAAAATTCTCATGAAAAAAAGTCAACAGAAGCGTTAATCTGTAATTGAGAAGCTAACTGCTGCTTGGTTCAATACAAAATCCACAGACTGTTAATTTTCCCACAAGGCTGATGCAACATAATCACTTCAACTTCCCATTACTTCCATGATTTATGTGGGAACGCAAACAAACACAGCAATAACTCATGATTTTTGTCCGAGCCAATTAACTCAAACCCAATAAAATAACCAGTTTGACATGAAAATCATAAAACAACCACTCACTTATAAGTAGTGGTGACTCTGTTTTGACGGAGGTCGTCCCAGGAGGCGTACTCGTACAGCACCTCCGTTCTATACGGCGTCCACGGCATGACATAAAGCCTGTCGCCGGCTTGCAGGGGGTCTTTACACCACGCCCCCGACTGATGCTCCGCCTCCAAGAGCGAGGAGGCTGGCTGGATGCTGAGCAGTGAGCCGGGACACACGAAAACTGAAAGATGGGCGTTAGGGAGGGCCAGAAGCAAGATGCAAAGCGAGAAAGAAGCAGAGGGAAAGAACAAAAGAAGAGAAGTGAGCGAAGAGTGGGTGGAAGGCAGATGTGAGGAGAAAATGGATCGATGCGTGACGGAAATGAGTTGAATTAGATGCATTGGATGCAGCGAGATTAAGAAGAAAGAATGAAGAGAAAAAGAGAACGGGATTTAGAACACCTGTCCTGATCTCAAGAGGCAAGCGACAGAGGAGACGAATAAGTGCTGAGAATCACACACTGTTAGTGTGTGTGTGGCGATTAATACAACAGGGACACTGCAATGAAAGTTGTGCATTTGTGTGCTTTGTTCAGTGTGTGTGCGTGTCTGTGTGTGTGTTTGTGGGTTAGTGCAAAAAGAGTGAAGAAGAGTGTGAGGTAGAGTCAGGGACGCAGAAGGCGGAGCTACATTTTGCCTTGAAGTGAATGAGAGGGCAGGTTAGTTTACGCCGAGCACAACGATTGGTCCACCCACATATCAATAACTGTATGGACACTTATGAATACTGAACAGTCGCACACTGGCATGCAAATAGGCATGCACACACACACACTCACACACCCACACACACACATAAGCAGTGCTTGGTAAGCACACATCCAGACGGATACACAATCAGACACGTTTCATCTTATTTTTCCTATGAAGATGAATAAAGGGGCTCTTCCTATAAGGGAAGAAAAGGGAAAATAAGCATGAAGAGGATGACTGGAAGGAAAGGAAAGATGGAAGAGAGGAAGAAGGAAAGAAGTGTTTTCAGGAGAAATTAAGTGATGTTTATGTTTGTGCGACCAGTTTTGTGTTTGTTTGTTTTCTTTGTGCACAGAGAGAAAGACCAGGAGCAGGAGGTGAAGGGGAGAAACTGGAGAGATGAACGTAGAAGAAAGAAGAAGAGGAGAAGAGAAAAGGTGCAGAACCTGGATAAAATTTGGATTGAAGAACGGCTTTGGATACAAGAGATGGATAAGATGTGGGGGTGGGGGGGGTAAAAAACATAAGAACCGTGTAAGAAATGAAAAAAGAGGAAGGGGCAACATCCAGCATGATTACGAAACAACGTCCTGGTGTTGGAGGAGGAGAGAAATGGCAGGATAGAGATAGAGCAGGAGGAGAAGAAGAAGAAAAAGAAGAGAAAAGAAGGGGGTCGGGGAGAGGAGAGATCAAGATGCTACAATGTTTTGTCTTTACCTTTTTGGTCCACTTCTACTCAAGCATAGGAAAAAAAGCGGGAGAGAAAGAAAGAAAAGTCAGAGGGTGAAAGAAGGGGAGTTAGAAAGCAAGCAAGCAAGAAAGGAAGGAAGGAAACAAAAAATTAAGGGAGAAAGAAAGAAAGAAAGAAAGAAAGAAAGAAAGAAAGAAAAAAAGAAAGAAAAAAAGAAAGAAAGAAAGAAAGAAAGAAAGAAAGAAAGATGCACAGATAAAGATTTTTGGAACTCATTCTCACCACAAACATTATTTTTCATGTAAAAGAAAGAAGCACAGAAGATCCCCGACATTCCCCGACTCTCCCCTTCCCTCTGTCCCCCTCCTCCCCCTTTTCCCTCCCCAATTACCCCCCCCCCCCCCCCAACTGATCACTCCTTCCCTCAATCAGGCTCCTGTGGAGAAAAGAGAGCAACTCCTGTGGTGTGAATCTGGAAAAGAAAACACACACACACACGTGCACGCCCAGTTGCAAACGTTCACCCACGCAAACTCACGCACGTGACATTTTGCAAATGCCCCACAGTTTATTTCTCTCCTTATCCCTCTCTCCCTCTGTTCTGTATTTTCTCCATCCAATTTCCTTCTTTTTAATTTTTTTGTTGTTCAAACACACACACACACACACACACACACACACACACACTTCCTGAGGGGACAAAAAATCATCTCCATCTTTTCTATTCATCAATCATTCCGGGAAATAGCTGACATCAGAAGTTACAAGATCAGAAAAAAATCAATCTCACACCTGCGTCTTGACATAAGTAGGTTAGATCTTAGTGTAGTGGTGTGTGTCTGTGTGTGAAAAGAGTTAACACGTTCATGGATAGATTCATTCCCACATAAAAGCGTACTCACTGTAAGGGACGCATTCGTATTGGATCTCCAGGTACTTGTATGTTCCAGGACAGGGGTCTGGGAAGACATCGACCCCTGCGACAACCACACACTGAGTCCTGTTGTTGCATCTGCAGAACATCCAATAAATGGGTGGATGGATGATGGATGGATGAGTCAGAGGGATGGATGGAGTGAGAAAACAGAGAGAGGAAACAGAAAGATTAACCGACAAGGTAGAAGCAAAAGATGCTTCGTTAAAGTGCTTTCTCTCTTGCTGAATATTGATCGCTTCTTCTTGGAAAACAGAGCTGAGCTCACAGGCGGGCATTTTACACTCACTGCTGCACGTGCACGTGCATGTGCACAGACACATGACTCAGTGTTGGGTCTGCTGCCAATCAACACGTATGTTGTACGGCAGCACGCATGCAAAGTGTGAACACATCAGCTGCCGTTTGTATGGATTAGTCAAGCTGCTTCCAGAAAAGGTCATTATGGAATTATCAATTCTGCTTTTGTAAAATCAATAACGCACACATACACATGCACGCACACACACACACACACACCTCTGAGACATGATCTTTAGAGCGTCAGGTAGGTAGCACTGCGTGTTCTCCATCTGAAACGGGTCGGCGTCACAGATCTTGTCGTCAGTGCGTCCGTAATTGGCCGTCTCCACCATGACCACATCACTTCCAGGGCAACGCAGCTCTATGGGGTAACCCTCGCACGCCAGCTCCCTGCGCAGCAGCCCGAACGGCATGGCGGCCCGGGACATCGCTGCTCGTAAAGGATGGAGGAAGGTGGGCATGGGATGTGTCGCGGAGACAAAATAAAGAAAGAAAAGACAGAGAAAATAATCTTTTTAATAAAATTTCTTTGGATGTTTGCAGCAAAAAGCATCAAGATTTTTATAAAAATGTTTCTAAATAATACTCTTCTAATGCAGGTCCAATGAAAGGTGTGGTTGACTAAAAAGCACATTTTCTAACTATTATTTCTGATTATAATCGGTCACTCTGGGTTTATCATGCAGGCTGAACATGAAAACAGTCCCCTACACCTATCTCCTGCATTAGCTTCTTAGAAAATAGACGGTGAAATACAGGATTTAAAAATCCTCACATATCCAAGTCACACTGTGAATTTGCATTCATGACCTCGCCCATCTAGGCTCACATCCGCCCACAGGAAGGCTTTTTTTGCAGCAAGGAGAGAAAGTGGAAGGTGTCTTGGTGATAGTGATTTTGCACCATGGCTGAATGCGTTCTGTTAGCCAATCAGAAGCGAGGTGTGTGCATATAATTAATAATAATGAGCAATCCTGCTGTTTTCAGTCTACCTCTGCACCAGCAAACTTCTGCATCTCAGAACAACAGCATCATAGCCGTTGTTTAATGACTCGTAAGGCATTGGTTTACACTAGAGAACACTGCTCATGGAAACCGATCATGAAGCTCTCTCTCTTTGAGAGAGCAAACACCCTGCAGTTTTCAGACAGATATCAACATTGAGATTCTGGTTGGAGCTCAGTGGATGAGCTGCCACCTGCCATGAAAGCTGATAAAATGGATCTACCGTGCATCTTTTTTGTCACACTTTCAAGCTCCTGTCAGTTTCAGAACCTTCATGTGAGAAGATTTGAGAAGTCTACATGTGCTTTTAGGGCTCATTTTGGAGGCTGCATTAAGATGTTCATCTGCGGGGACAAGAAACATTTTTAAAAGGTGCTTGTTCACCTTGAGACATTTACACAAATACATCACTGCCAGTCTGAGCTGCAGTCCGTAAATACCCATTACCACACAGGCCTCTGACTGAATGCTGATTTCAACCTTCACCTCTAGAGAGACAAATGAAACAAGTGCTTACTTAATAGTTTGTGTCTAGTGAAGAAAATACAGAACAGACAAGTAAACAAATATGCAGAAAAAATCTAGTAATACAAGGTTACGTCCCATCGTGTTCGTGCAAAAATTTGCTTGCAAATATCCTTAAAGTGTAGTTTACTGATTTTTTAATAACTTTATTCCTGCTACTTTTTGATATAAATGGGACTTTACTCAAAATCCACCAGAAATTTCTGTATTTTAACTTATTTGAGCCAAAATTATAAAAGTAAAATGTCACATTTATTGGATTTTGCTCACATTTAAAGGAGATATTTTCCTTGACTTTTTCTTGAGTCATAATAGTTTTATGGTCAATAAAAAAAATTCGTTTATGACGTTCTTTGCTCTAAATCTCTCTCACATAAGGTGATTTCAGCTGTTTCATTCATGACATTTTCAGCACCTTCCAGAATGAGCCACTTCAGAGCTGTGTCTCTTTAAGGAAACAAACTGAAGCTCACCACACCCACCCATGCTCCAGTCAGGCTGCTATGACCTGAGTAGCTCTGATATATGAGAGGGGTTCAGAGTAGAGCCGCTGCTCCTCCACCTACAGCTCTACATCTCTCTTGCACGTGAGAGATGGTTCTATTCTACTTTCCCTGTTTGTGACATCACAGATGTGAACTTTTTGTAACAGATTGCTTTAGGCACATACTTCCTAAAAGAAAACGGATGGACAGGGTTTTTTTTTTTACATGTGGTGTGTTAAAAATTTCACTTGGATCAAGTTGTGTTCATTATTATTTTGTGTCTTTAAGGTTTTGCTTTAGTGTTTTAGTTTTCTAGATCCAGTGTTACTCACAGCTGTGACTTTCTTACATGTGGTTCTTTGTGAGTTTTGGTTTTTCTGGCTTTTCCTCAGCTTTTATGTTTTCCTGCTCTCTGCTTGGTGACTCTAAACTTTAGTTCTTTGGCCCTCAGTAAGTGACACGTTATAACAGTGCATCTTTCTCTAATTCAATATAAATAAATGATAACTTTCGTCAATACTAGCAACATTATTAATAACCTAAAGTTATTGTCTATTTAAAGCTTTTATTAGATCCACAGAGTCACAAAACCATCTGTTCCTTCTGCTGAAGTTTTCCTCTTCAACAACCTTTTGGACCAGCCTAGTGGTTTGTTATCATGACCTGAGATGCTGGTGCTAATGACTCCCCTGTGCATGTATTATTAACACTTTGTAGATATTCCTCAGCCAAACCCTCCTCGCATATTTGCAGAAGGAAGAAAAAGAAACATAATGATGGTGAAATGTATTCTAGAGCTGTCAACACATCCAGCAGGTTCATTAAAATAAATGCTAGGAGATGCAGAATGTGACTGTTGGCACAAATCACATCACACCTCCACTTTGACGCCCAAATGTGATGAGAGGCAGAACACGGGAACTTAACAGGTTTTTATTTTGAACGCTGGTAATGCTGTCTACAGTGTGATGATAACTGCTGGGAACTTTAGGACTTCTTTTCTGTGAAGGTTTCATCTTGATATGGTAACACTTAACTTTCTTTGACATGGAATGTGCTACTACTAGTTCACCAGTTGAATTTATTATAGATTCACTCAGATAAAGATAATAAAGTTTATTTCTTAATAAGTATAATATTTCTAAGTAATCACAATGTAGCCATAGAAACACTATTTAGTGTGTGTGTGTGTGTGTGTGTGTGTGTGTGTGTGTGTGTGTGTGTGTGTGTGTGTGTGTGTGTGTGTGTGCCTACGGATGGCTGCTTATACTGAGCCAGGAACCTCTGAGGATTCTTCCTGTTAAAAGGGAGTTTTCCTCTCCACTGTCGCTGCATGCTTACTTAGTATGAGGATTGCTGTAAAGACTCTGACTCTAGTCAGTGACTCGATGGGTTCCTTTTATAGAAAACTTTTTACTGATTAGCTTAATGGTCAGGGGTCTCATTTATCAAACATTGCGTAGAATCCTTACTAAAACTGTACTTAAGTTAAGCAAAAAAAAAAAAGTACTTACGCCAAGTAGGTTTGTGATCTAGCAAACATGGAGTACGCACAGCTGCACGCAATCTCCGCTTCATAAATCAGAAACTATCTGGAAAGATTCTCAGCTGCTTTTTAGTCACATTCCGCCCTCACCACTCCATACCACGCCTACTGCCATAAAAAGTCAAAGCAAAGCGCCTTGTGAATCTCATGCATATACATAAGCCGGCTGTTGCAGCGCCCCGTCAATGACATGGTGACCGTAGATCAAGGCAGATCAAGGAAGCACGATTTCACAGAAGCAGAAATTGAGGTACTTGTGGGTGAGGTGGAGACATTAAAGGAAGTGCTTTTGCAAAACAAGAAAAAATCCACGGAGTGGCACAGCGTTGCTGAAGCCGTCAATGTTGTGAGTGGCGGATATAAAAAAAATAGTCCAATGGGGATTCGATCCCCAGACCCCCAAGTGAAAGTCGCACACACTAACCAGTCACCCAAACATAGATCTCCCTTGTCCAAGTAGCCAGGGCACATGATCAATCGGGTCACAGTGACAGGACACACACTGTCACAGACGCATGACATTCTGTCTCAATGTGTCCCCCTGCTGATTTTCTGCATTCCGTATTCTGTGCTTCAGGATGTGTGTGTGTGTGTGTGTGTGCGCGCGTGCGTGTGTGTGCGTGTGGGGGGGTCTTGTTCTGTGTGAAAACGAAGCAGTACAAGTGATAATGCTGCAGGATTTCATGATTTTATCCTTCTCAGCAGCAGCACTGCAGGTGCTCTCCATGTCCAAAATGTGCGTAAGCCAGGTCCTTAGTCAACTTCAAGTTGCGCATATTTTTCCGTTAAGTTTTCTTTCATAAATATCAAAGTTTGCGTGGAAAGTTGCTTACGCAGTTTTCCGACCCCGTTTTGTGCGTAACCAAGCTTGATAAATGAGGCCCCTGGACTGTGTTGGAATGTTTACTTTGTGAGTGCCTGGAGGCGATTTCATGATTTGGTACTATATAAATAAACTGACTGACGAGTTTATTATGTGAAGTGCCTTGAGACGACTCTTGTCGTGATTTGGCGCTATATAAATAAACTTGAATTGAATTGAATTGAATTGAATATGTCAGCCATGTCATGTTATGTGTGAGGCATGACGGGGGGGGGGGGGGGGGGGGGGGGGGTGGGGGTGGGGGGGGGGGAGTGCCGACAGCGGCCCAGAGCACATCGGCCGTTCGGGGATTCTGCGGAACTCGGAAATTGTCATTTCGCCTCTGGCTGTAGCTGTCCCTGGTTCTGAAACACAAAGTGTCTCTAAAATCCATCTCAACATTCCTCATAACAAGTTTCACGTGTGTTCAGATGTCAACATTTTGGGATGTTTTATTCTAGATTAATTTTTTCTAATTTTTCTAATTTTCTAATTTTTACATAATTTTTTTTACATTCGCCTGTTTCAAGCCAAATATGGAAGTGTAGAAAAGACATGCTAAGAATATTATTTTCATGATGCCATCTTGCAATAACAGTGTCACATTTTCACAGTTATCAGTAAATTTATCTATCTATCTATCATCTATCTATCTATCTATCTATCTATCTATCTATCTATCTATCTATCTATCTATCTATCTATCTATCTATCTATCTATCTATCTATCTATCTATCTATCTATCTATCTATCTATCTATCTATCTATCTATCTATCATCTATCTATCTATCATCTATCTATCTATCTATCTATCTATCTATCTATCTATCTATCTATCTATCTATCTATCTATCTATCTATCTATCTATCATCTATCTATCTATCTATCATCTATCTATCTATCTATCTATCTATCTATCTATCTATCTATCTATCTATCTATCTATCTATCTATCTATCATCTATCTATCTATCTATCTATCTATCTATCTATCTATCTATCTATCTATCTATCTATCTATCTATCTATCTATCTATCTATCTATCTATCTATCTATCATCTATCTATCTATCTATCTATCTATCTATCATCTATCTATCTATCTATCTATCTATCTATCTATCTATCTATCTATCTATCTATCTATCTATCTATCTATCTATCTATCTATCTATCATCTATCTATATATCTATCTATCTATCTATCTATCTATCTATTTATTTATTTATTTGCAATAAAGTATTTTAATTTTTTCAGAATGAAAAGACATTGTTCCTAAATAACCAGGGAAGTCTAACTGACTGAGACTCAGAATGCCACAGAACATCTATCTGGATCATTGAATTACTGCTATCAATCAACTTTACAGTAAGAGCAAAAACTGGCACAAGGAACATTTGTATCACAATTATGAAATTATTTTGACAAAAGCTAAACTTATTTTTGTCCAGTTTGTTGATCTAGTGACCTAAACAAGACAGCATGATCAATGATAAATGACACGCACTTATACAGCACTTTTCAGAGTCAGAGGACTCTAAAGCGCATTCACACACACATTCACACACTGATGGTGGTGAGCTACGTTGTAGCCACAGCTGCCCCGAGGCACACTGACACAGGCGAGGCTGCTGAGCACAGGCGCTACAAGTCCATCCGATCGCCACCAGTCTTGCCCAAGGACAAAACAGCAGAATTCTCTGTCCTAAGCTGGATTTGAACCTGCAACCTTCCGATTACTCGACAAAAAATAGTAACAGGTAAGGCTGTTCTTGGCTTCCTTAACAAATCTACATAATGATAGCATGACATTTTCTTTTAACTTTTTGTGAAATGGTGTTCAAACAAACCCTTTAAAGCCACGCTTAAGACTTTCAACAATTAAGCTATTGCTTTCAAACCCTTTTAGTGGTTCTTGAGTCAGTAACTGGAGCAACTTCACATTGGACAGACCCCTTTAGTCCTCTGCTGACCAGAAACTGGACTTAACCGTTTACTCGGTGCTGGCAGGTACACTAGATGGAGGTCTCTACCCGCTTTGTTGCGGGAGCTAATATAAAGGCTAGCAGTTAGCTTAATCAGCTGTGTGGCTGTCAATAAAAAGCACATGAAGAAGAAGGAGTTGACATAATAGCAGAGCCTGAAGTCAATGGAATAGAGTCATGTCTGTGGAACAAAATATCTCTAAATCTTTGAATCCTCGCAGACCACTTTTTTCCACCATCCTGAATATTTTAGATTCATCTCTGCTCCAGCTCAGCTGGTTTAAATAAACAGGAGATTATTGGGTCAGGTGTGTTGTTTCAGGAAAACAGCTAAAATATGCAGGACGGTGTCCCTCAGGGACCAGGACAGGACACCACTGATCTAAATTCTTAAAAGGGAGTTTTCATCTCCACTGTCGCTTTATGCTTGCTTGGTATGAGGATTGCTGTATAGTCACTGACACTTGTCAGTGACTTGATGCAATTTGCTGGGTTCCTTATATAGGAAACATTATTTCTGACTGGCTTAATGAACTGACCTGAATTGGAATTTTTATTATGTGAAGTGCCTTGAGACGACTCTTGTCGTGATTTGGCGCTATATAAATAAACTTGAATTGAATTGAAAATTAAATAGTTTCTAAATGGTTGGTTTACTTTTAACTTTTATCTTCCACACCAAGAATAAATCTATGAAAATAAGACTTTTAGCAGATATTTTCCCAATTTTCCCACCTCTGCTCTAAATTGATGCTACCTCTACAATATAACACTTACCTTGACCAGATGGGGCGACGTGAGCCAGCGTGAGCAAACACACCCCCAAGAACCATAAAGCCACCGCCATGCTGGGCAGGAAGAGTTAGGACTTCACACCACCAGCTGCAATATGAGAGCCTGGGGAGGAAGAAGAGGAGGAAGAGGGATGGTGAGAGTGAGGAACTGCATTGTCTTATCTCTGTGCACATCTGTATGTGCGTGTGCTTGCAGGGTGGTCAGCAACCCACAAGGAAATGTGTGCACGTGAGGCAGCGCAGCAGGGTGGGAGGAGGACGGAATAATAGGCAGACAGACAGAGTGAGAGAGAGCAAAACAGAGATAACAACCGAGCAATCCGTGCAGCAAAAAAGTCACTCAATCTGCTGTTACCATGGTGATAGCCCGGCACAGTCTCAAGGAGCAAGAAGGAGGCAGAAAATCAGGAGATACGCTGGGTTTTCGTTTGAAAGTGCATCAGTGAGAGTTTGTGTTTTAAATCTGCAATTAGCCAGAGGCAATTCTGGCTAACCCACGAAAAGAGCTTTAATATTCTGCTCGTCAGACACACACATAAACGCTCACACACATGGGCAGGCAGGCAGACGGTTGATCTCAGCTTAGGCCACTTTTCATTAATCCTAAATAAATGATGTTGTCGAGGAGGCCTCATCCGCAGCAGGCGTAACGAAGCAAACAGCCGCCTGGAGGTAGACGATCATGGGCTGATTGTAGAGTTTCTGGGGGGAACGTACGAACTGCAGGCAAACGAGCTACAAAGGAACAACTGTAACATGACTCTTTGATATAGTCTGAACTCCTGGCCTCTGACAGAACGGAGGATGGAGGCTAAACTACAACGTGTACTGTATTACATTTCCTTCTCCGGCTTAGCATTCCAATCAGCCGGCTGCTGCAGTGTGCAGCGGAGGCCCGGCATTGTGCTTGCAGGAGTGCATGTCCTTGTTTTTGTTGCCTCATTAGGACTTTTTTTCTAGTACAGTCTTTGACCTTGTCTGTAGAGGTTGTCCTCGTGGACATCAAAGCTCAGTGCCAGTGGGACAAAACGGAACTAAGATTCTAGATTAGGAGGGCAAAGTGAGAAGTGAACGGTTGACAATGATTCAGATTAGGGTGAAAATGGCGGTCAAGGTAAGGATGTAAACAAAGACCAGAAGTCTGTGTGTGTGTGTGTGTGTGTGTGTGTGTGTGTGTGTGTGTGTGTGTGTGTGTGTGTGTGTGTGTGTGTGTGTGTGTGTGTGTGTGTGTGTGTCTGTGTGAGTACAGCTCATGAATATTTTCTCTCCATGTTGAATCCGCTGAAATGTGTTCCTTTTTCAGCGCTTTAGTTATTTTCTGGCTTACTCCTGGAGAGCTCCTAATTCAGGTGGAAGCGGCGAAGTGTGCTTCTTTGTTGTTTCTCGTTTTTCTACAAAAAAAGGAACCATGTTATCAAACGCCAACCTGATTTTCTACAGACAACCAGGTTTTTAAAAATAAATTCCCTGAACTCAAGTGTGTTTTTTCCACATACACACCAGACTTCTACTGTTTTTACGCATCTCTTAGATGGATTTTGATTCGTTTAAATATTGGTTTTATTCTCTCGTTGGGTTCTTGATTACACATTATACATTCAGTGAAATAGTCCAGTTTTGAATATCTACACTGGATTCACTGCAAATCTTTCACTGAGTTAGCATAATGGAATTAACATACACCCACAGCTTTTGTGTAACATCCCTAGTGAGAACTGGTACAGAAGATATTTATTTATTTATTTATTTTAAAAATACAGTTTTGAATACATTCTCCATTTTTTTAAACTTGTCCTGTTCTGGCAGTAGAAGCAGACAGAACGGTTGATCTGGGCACCATAACACGCCAGAGAAGATTTACTCTACAGCAAAAAGGGAGGTGGGATTTTCTTCCTGTTGCGCAGTAGCCTTTATTATGTTTGTGGCACGTTAGACCACATTCGCTCAGACACCGGAGTAGACAGGCAGGGAGATGTACAAGATAAAGAGGGAAAGAGAGGGAGGGAGGAATGGAGGGACAACAGTACACAATGGGGATGTGTATGGGTGACTTTAGGGCAGGGGTGTCAAATATGCGGCCCGCGGGCCGCATCCGGCCCGCAAGCGGGTTAAATTCGGCCCGCGAGATGGTTGTATAAACTTTATTTTCATACTTTACAATGTAGAGAAAATAAACGTATCTTTGTGAGCAAGTTTTCTCTGTAATGAGTATAAATAAAACAAAGCTGCGCTCAAGTCTCACACAAGAACTTGAATCACATCCTGAAGTTGGCCGCCACTCAGGATGTGACTTCTGATGTTGATGCTCCGGTGAAAGCTAAAAGATGTAAAGTAAAATGAGTCAAATATACTTTAAGTGCTGCATGAAACTGATCTAGCCATGTGATCTGTAAGCTCTTTGAATCACTAAGGAATATTTATTTATTTATTTATTTTTTCAAATTTTCGAGTACACTTCAGGTGTTGTACTTGTACTATTTTGGATACACTGTCCTCAGGCTCCAGCTTTGTTTTATATTGATTGTATTAAAACAAAAAAAAAACAATCTGAAGTTGTTTTTAATTTACCGGTCCGGCCCACTTGGGACTAGATTTCCCTCATTGTGGCTCCTGAGCTAAAATGAGTTTGACACCCCTGCTTTAGGGCGATACGATACGTTTCACGATACAGGGAGACGATACAATGTGTCACAATAAATTGTGATACATTAAGTCAGACGGCAAGTGTCTAAATCTATTGCTATACTTTATAAAACTAGTGATGCACTAAATAAAAAAGCCTTGTTTTTGATTTATAGCTCTTTAATTATGCCTTATTTGTCTTACTGTGCAGAGGTTTGGGGAAATGCAGGTAAAACGTGTGTTGACACTGTATTTAAATTACAAAAAAAGGCAATTAGAATAGTTAATAAATTGGGATACCTCGAACCAACCCATAATCTATTTAGTCAAACTAAAACGCTAAAATTAGGAGATATTATTAAAGTAAAAATCTTAGAGATTCTTCATAAAGTAGTTAATAATAATATCCCAAATTGCATAAAAGTTTATTTCAAACCAAGAGATGATCATTATAATCTCAGAGGTGTATTTATGTTTGAATGTGTAAAAGCCAGAACTAATGTGAAATCATGATGTGTTTCCGTTGTTGGTGTGAAATTGTGGAATGAGTTAGATGATGATTTGAAGAAATGTACTTCTTTACTAAAGTTTAAAGCAGGTGTAAAGTGTCACATATTCACAGGGTATGAAAAGTATGTATAGACATTAATGAATTTTCATTGTGGTTATTTATATTGGGGAAAATAAAAGAAATGTATATTGGTTATGTATCTTAGGTGGAAAATAGGGTAGGCTAAAATAAGCATTGCTTCTGCCTATTCCTTTTTTGGTTTAAATTCAAGTTGTTAATACTGTTGTTTTGTTTGAAAAGAAAAAATTTATGTTAATGCTATAAACCAAAATAAAGACCGAAAGAAGAAGAAAGAAGATATTAGCGATTTCTTTAGACTGCATCTATTGTAGGAAAACTCAACAAACAGTACAAACTGATACATAACATGTTTAATATGAGGTATCTAAACCATAACAGAATTTTTTTTAAATACACAAATGTTTGCAAGTAAAATTTTCGTGCGTGCGTGCGTGCCTCTATATCTTATAGAAGATATTTGCATGTTTTTGTGGTTGTCTATGCGTGCGTGTCTAAGCTGTGTTTGTGATACCATTTGAAGTAACACTACAAGTGAAAACTTAAAAATACAATTTTGGACATTTAAAAAAATCTGCCAATGTTATTTATCCTTAACTAGTTTGGTTCCAAAACACAATTATACACACCTTTAATAATGTGATTGTAAATAACCGGTAAGTTACTTTTACATGTGAAGATTGTTCTGAAAGTTTGAATGTGTAAAGTCTCTTAGTGTGGAACACAGGGAGGAGTTGAAAGAGCAAGTCACCTCCAAATCAACTTTTTTTTCTGATAAACTATATAAATGCGTGTCTAATCGTGCTGCAGACACGTGTAGTCAATAATTTGGTACTTCAGTGCATCTAAGTTAAAATTTAAATATTCTGCCTAAAACTGTCAGTGTTGTGCCGTCGTCAGGTAAAAACTCAGCACTGCTTTTGAATTTAAATCTGCCACTGCTATTGGCTAAGGGGTATGCTATGATGTAAACTGGTCCTTATGATGTCACAATGTCATTGTGAGCCTGTGTGTGTGTGTTTGCGTCTCCGCCCTCTCGGTCTGCCAGGCAACAGCATTTGTTGCATTTTTCAAACATGAAGAGGGAGTTGAGTAAGAATCTGGCAGGGGTTGACTTGCTCTTTAATGTTCCTAAACGCCTGGAATAAAAAGCAAATACCAAAAAGAGAACTGTTGATTAGCAAAAACATACATTCACAAAGAGTTAATGAGACATGAAACAACCTATTTTTGTAAATATTGTACATTAATATGTCTTAATCTAAAGAGCACACACCATAAAACAGCTCAAATTATTTCATTACAACAGGATAGTTACTTATTTCATGTACACTAAAATAACTGCAAATAATTAAACCAGTATTTTTTCTGTTTTTACACCAAATTCTTGTTCATTAAAATCTCTCTTTATTTTCATTGTTTCAGGAATCACAACAAAACGGCCTCTCCAGGAGTACATAATAAAAGAAATCTCGTTTAAAAATAGCAATACTGATGAACAAAGAAGGCCCATCAGATAAAGAGGTAGTTAGGAGTTTAGGCACAGCAGCAGTAGATTAAAAACAAACTGACTACAGTTTATGGTCATGTAAACACATATAAGACTTCCGGCTCAAGGGCAGAACAGTCATTCTAGGCTTTGCTCTGATTGATCTGAACATTTTACCTGATGGTAGTTAATCTGAATAATTTATTTTAACAAGAAATGTTCAAAATGGATTATTCTCTAAAGATTAAGCCTTTTAAAGTGACATTGAATGGAATTTTCACATATTTGAAGTGTGTTTCTGGGCAAAAGTTATAAATAATAATTACTACCTTGCCTTTGAGGGTTGCTTCCCTGCTTCCCTGGTGGCCCATTTTTGGTGAAATGGTCAAGATCAGTGTTGAAA